GTGCCTCACACATCACACATACTAGGCAGGAGCTCTACCACTGAGCTACAACCCCAGCCTCCCTTTTTATTTTTTGAGACAGGGTCTTGATAAGTTGCTGAGACTGGCCTTCAATCTTGTGATCCTCATCTCAGCCTCCCCAAGTTGCTGGGCTTAAAGGCAAATGCCACCATGCCCAACTGGACGCAGTACTCTTTTTTTTTTTTTTTTTAGTTGTTGATGGACCTTTATCTTATTCATGTATTAATATGTGATTCTGAGAATGAAACCCAGTGCCTCACACATGTGAGCCAAGAACTCTACCACCGAGTCACAACCCCAACCCCTAGATGGAGTACTCTTGCTAACTGCTTTATTAGAGTTTTGATTGTAAACTACAGCTCCAAAAAAATCTAAATTATTTTTCTTCATTCTGTTTGTCCTCACAAAATATTACCAAAGTTGGACTTGGGATGGAACTCAGTGGTAGAACATGTGCTTAACATGTGGGAGGCCCTGGGTTTCATGTCCAGCATCACCAAAAGGGGAGTGGGGGAATTACTACAAAAACACAGAAATGCATGATTCCACATTTTAATTTACTTATGTGGTTAAATCATATGACAATAGTGATTCCCCCAAACAAGCAAAATTAACTTTAAAAATACAGGGAAAGGGCTGTATCCCCTGGGGTGGGGCCTGCTTGGACTCCACTGCAGGACCTTTCCATTTGGGTTCAGGTGGAGGCCTCGGGCTTGAGGTCCTGGGTTGCAGCCCCCATACCAAAAACAAAACAAAACAAAAAATTCAGTTTATTGCCCTTTCCAAAAAAAAAATAATATATATATATACATATATATGTGTGTGTGTATCACAATAAAAGACCTTTTCTATGGAGAGTTATATGAAGTAAGGCTTTCACCCCCACCTATGTGTGCCTCATTTGGGGAACTACCAGGTTTTTGCTTGTGCTGAATGATGCCATGATTGTTTATAGCCTCCTATGAGAAAATGTAATTACAGAACAAATCATATAGTGGTGATGATTTTTTTTTAAGGTACTAGGAACTGATCTCAGTGGCACTCAACCACTGAACCACAGTCCCAGCCCTATTTTGTATTTTATTTAGAGACAGGGTCTCCCTGAGTTGCTTAGCACCTCACTTTTGCTGAGGCTGGCTTTGAACTCACAATCCTCCTGCCTCAGCCTCCCAAACCGCTGGGATTACCGGTGTGCACCACCATGTTCAGCAATCTTTTTTTAATCACTTGGAATGAGGTAAGCAGGGAGAGCACTGGATATTTGTTTGTGCTTTGAGAATGGCTCCCCTCATCTATTTCTTCCGATACTTCCACTGAACTTCCATTGAGCAAGCCACGTAACACTGAATTCCCCATCAAGGTTTTAGTTAGATGACGACTTCCTCTTTTGACTTTTGCAGTTCTATTGATAATTAATTGTGTCCAAACCCAAACTGAAGATTGAACCATGACAGGCAATGGCCCTGTCTGGCTGTGGCATCATAAAGCATCAGAGAAACTTGGGAAAGAAAAGCACAAATTACTTCCAAATTTTCATGACAGAGATCGGATATATCTGAGTTGTCAGAGATCAGAGCTAGGATAACTTAGATCTTCTAATCCTAGTACAATGTTTTTTCTCTTGAACCATGATGTTTATTTCAGCTTCACTGTCCTATTAAAAACAAATTAGTTTAAAACTGACAGTTTTTCACCAAAATGCTAAAAAAAAAAAGCCCTCAAATGAAAATACAACATGAATAGGGTAAGAGCAAATAATTAATTCCACATATTAATAGCCTACATCAAGTGAAAGGCTTCTAAAGTGTACATACACAGCATTGTGGAGAATATTTTTAAAATAAGTTTTATTGAGACATAATTCACATACCATAAAATTTGCCCTTTCTTAAAAAACAATTCAGTGGTACTTCATATATTCAAAGTTGTACAAACATCACTACTATGTAATTTCAGAGCATTTTTATCACTACCAAAAAACTCTGTACCTGGTATAAGTCATTCTTCCACCCCAACCCCCTATTACTAGCCTCTAGCAAATACTGTTTCTATGGATTTTCCTATTTTGGACATTTCATATAAATAGAATCATGATAGGCAGTCTTTTGTAACTTCCTTCATTTAGTATGTTTTCAAGGTCCATCCATATTATAGCATGCATTAGAACTTCATTCCTTTTGTTTTTGTTTTGTAGTACTGGGAATTGAACCCAGGGGCACTGTACCACTCAGTTATATCACTAGATCTTTCTTAGATTTTAAAATTTTGAGACAATGTTTAAGTAATTTACCAAGCTGACCTAACATTTGCAATTCTCCTGCCTCAGTCCCAAGTAGCTAGAAGTATAGGAATGTGCCACCATGCCCAGAACTTCATTAAGGCTGAATAATAATCCATTGTATGGATATACTATATTTTGTTTATTCATTGACTAATGGACATTTGGGTTTTTATTACCTTTTATCGTGTGAATAACTGCACTATGAATATCTATGGACAATGTTGACATGTGCCTTTTGTGTGGATGTATTTATCTCTTGGGTATACATGTGGTATACCCATGCTGGGTCATGTGCTAACTGTATTTTAAACTTTTTGTGGAACTACTAGACTATTTTCCCAAGATCCTGTACCATGCTCTTGTCCCATGAGCAACATTATGAGGACTCTAGTTTCTTCATATCCTCACCAATACTTGATATTATCCCAACAATGGAGTTATTGTAACAAAATTAATCCAGGGTGAAGGGAGTGCCCACTGAGCTTCAGAGTGACATCAGAGAATGTGGGCAAGCATATTCTCTCACCAAGCACAGGCCAATCCACCAGCAATAGGGAACAATATTGATAATACTGCTATCCTACTTTGTGGTGCCTCCTTGACAGCTCAGGGTAGGGCTTCTCAAAATGTAGTCCCCAGACCAGCACCATGAGCTTTACTGGGAACCAGTTATAAATGTTCAAACCTAATGAGTCAGAAGCTATGGGGACCCAGCTTGTGCCTTCTGGTGATTCTGATGCCTTCTTGAGTCAGGCGAAGGCAGAGTCTAATGCAGAACATCTACGATTCTGAACATCAGCTTTAGCCATCTTGTTAGTGATCATTAATACACACCAAATCCTCAACCCCTACAAATGAGGCTGATAGTGTCATAGGAAAGAACTTTTTGAAGGATTCAGCCATGCAACCCAAGTGGGATGGCTTGATACTGTGCGGTAATGAGGAACACTTGCTGATGTAAAATGCTCACCACAAATTTTGGACGTGGAAAACCTAATAAACAGGAACTTAAAAGCACCTTCTAAAGCCCAGTAACATAGCTATTGCTTGCCTCAATTTTCTTTTCTAAATATTTTTATCCATTCCAAATTACAAAGAGTATGCTATAACAGTTCTTTTTTAAAAAACTCATTGGAGCCAGGTGCAGTGGCACACAACTGTAATCCCAGCAGCTCAGGAGGCTGAGGCAGGAGGATCTTGAGTTCAAAATCAGCCTCAGCTACTTGGTGAGGCCCTAAGTAACTTAGCAAGACTGTCTCAAAATCAAATATTAAAAAAAAAAAAAGATTGGAGATGTGGTCAGTGGTTAAGCTGTATTCAATCCCTGGTATGAAAACACAAACAAACAAAATCTCATTGGAAAGGGGTAACACAAGAAGCTTCATAGAGAATTTAAATGATTCACATTAATGCCATGTGAACAGACCACAAACACTCTGGATACCCCATATGTTAAATCCTTTTTTTTTTTTTTTTGGGGTGGGGATCAACCCCAGGACTTCACAAATGCTAGGCATGTGCTCTGTCACTGAGCTATACCCCTAACCCTCAATGCCATTTTTAAATTCTTTTCTTTTTTTAAAAAAAAAATTAGAGCTTTATGGCTATACATAGTATAACTATAAAGACCTGACAAACTCATACATCATGGAAATTGATTTCAGTTCATGATCCTCCCTTTTCTCTTCCCCTTTTCCCTACCCTCTCCCCTTCTCCTTCTACTGGACTTCCTTTCACTCATCTATTAATTTGTATTTGACTGGTTCTTTATGTACTCTTATCCTTCCCTCCCCTTTCCTTTATTTTACTCTAGATTCCATAAATGAAAGAAAACATTTGACCTTAAGTTTCTGAGTTTGGCTAGTTAACTTAGCATGATATTCTCCATTTCCATCCATTTACTGGCAAATGCCATAATTACATTTTTTTAATGGCTGAGTAGAATTCCATTGTATATACATATATACTATAATTTCTTAATCCATTCGTCTAATGATGGGCATCTGGGTTGATTCCATAATTTAGATATTGTAAATTGTGCTGCTATAAACATTTTTTCTTCAATGCCATTTTTTAAACTATATAGAGAAACCATTATTTGAAGAATCACTGTCTTTTTCATATACTGCCAGTTAAAAATCTTCTGCCTACATATTTCTCGTAAGCTCATAAATTCAGTTATTAGGGGCAATAGAACCTCTTTATAATAAATTACTTCCTTCAAATATGAGTAGATCACTATTTTTCTGCATCTCAGCCAGGAAGCAAATGGCCTCAGAAAGATGAAGCCAGCTTTAAATCAGACCCAGTTGGCTCTTAATTAAAACCTCCATCCAGTTGCCAGGAGAGGTAGAACACATTCAAATGTGCAGATGAAGCCAGGCACTGATGTGCACACCTATAATTCCAGCTACTCCAGAGGCGGAGGCAGGAGGATCTCAAGTTCAAGGCCAGCCTCAGCAATTAACTGAGACCCCGTCTCAAAAACTAAAAAGAGCTGGGGATGTAGCTCAGTGGTAGAGTGCTTGCCTACCATGTGTGAGGCCATGGGTTCATTTCCAGGTACCACAGAAAAAAAATGACCAAAAAAAAACCCCAAAAAAGGCCAAGTGGATATAGAAAAAAAGCCACATAGCTGAATAAACAAACAAACAAACAAAAAAAACCATAGGGCTTACACAAAAAACCACCATCAGAGTAGAACTGCTATAACTTCCATTCGGTCCTCAAACCCCACCCTTCAATGGCTGCACTGATTTTTATAACATTTCTCTTGTCTGAGACATCACAGTATCTCTGAGTAAATTCAAAACCTTTTGATAAGTATCCAGAATATCCTGAGCAGTGGGTCTTTCTGCAGGATTCTGGCTCTTACAGGCCTTATGAATATCAAACAAATGGAATCGAACCATATCACTACCCTCAACGTGCCCCAAAAGGAAACTGGAAACATCTGGAATCTTCCAGATATCAATCTTCTCATCATATGAGGGCATGAGATCATCATGAAAAGGTATGTCCTCTCCATAAGGCCATAATTGCTCAGGAGCTATAAAATCCCCATGAAGCTCCCTGTGGCCACATTTCACAAATGTCCCAGAGCTGTGGTTCACCAGGGGTAAGGCATCTAAATCATTTGCCACAATGCTGAAGTTACTTGTTAGCAGATACTGAGACAGTGTCTTGGGCAGGTCATTAGAGTCACACATGACCAGCGTGCCCAGGGGGCTGTGGTGCAGGTAGTTAATGACACCAACATAATCCATGGCCAGCTGCAGCCTGTGCTGCCATGTATTCACATTTTGGTACTTTGAAAGGTTTAGTGTTTCTTCCAGGTTGCTCAAGGAACCTAAGGGGTGATATTCAGTAAGAATAGTGTTGTCTTCCTCACAATAGCCAAGCAGTGTGACAATGTGTTTGCTTTGTAGAGATTTCAGCATCTGTAGTCCATAGAGGAAATCATCTCTCATTTCCAGACTGGTGAGCCGTGAGAGTGCAACTTTGCGTTCCTTCCACTCAGACAGAAAGACCTGAAACAAAGCCAGAAGAACATCAAACCTAACCCTTCCACCTAAAGTGAGACAAGAAAGAAAAATACTTTCTGTTTAACAAGTGTGGCACAGAAGACAAATGAATGAGACAAGAACCCAGTCTTTGCAGTCCTAGAGTTGCACTTTGTCTAGTTGTAAAGACTCACTATGAACAAACATATAACATGCAAGAAGGTGAACAACAAATTAGTGCATAAAATTTCAGCAGGAGGGACTGACTGTAGTCTGGATGTGAGAGCTAGCTGGAGATGACTCTGGAAGGTTCCTGGAAGTTGGTCTTAGAGGATGGTCAGGACTTGCAGCACACATGTTGGAAAAGGGGAATGCAAGGCCCAGGAGGAGAGGCTGCCTGTGTAAAGACCTGGGGCAGCCAACTGCCTGCCAGTTCCAACTTACTGTAGCACAAAGGGTGCTTTTTGTACTTTATATCTTTTGGTATTTTCCAATTCTTTCAAAACAAACATACATTACTTCTATAATTCAAAAGATTAAGACTCAGAAACACTACATAAAATGGAAGTGGACTAAAGGATCTCAAATATTTCTTTTGGATTTAAGAAGAGAGGGTTTTTAATGGGGAAAAAAAAAAAACTAACCCTTCACCTTCAAAAGAGAAATCTTTCAAGACCTCAAACCTCCATAAACAAGAAATTTCATTATGGATCTTTTCTATTGGGGGGAAAAAGTCATTTTTACTCTGGCTGCTACATTCAGTAAAACTTTGATGAATTTATAAAATTTTCAAATAAACATACTCCATAGATTTGTATTACCACTGAATTTGATATTTTGACTCTAATAAAAAAATAAAAATAATACTTTGTTAAGATCCATCACTTTTTTTTCTTTCTTTCTTTCTTTCTTTTTTCTTTTTGGTACCAGGGATTAAAGCCAGGGGCACGTAAAAACACTGAGCCACATCCCTAGCCTTTTTTATATTTTATTTGGAGACAGGGTCTCATTGAGTTAACTTAGGGCCTCACTAGGTCGCTGAGTCTGGCTTTGAATTCATAATTCTCCTGCCTTAGCCTCCCGAGCTGCTGGGATTACAGGCCTGCACTTGCCTGGCTAAGATCCATCACTTATTTGGACCTATTGTGCATGGTCATGACTAGTGCTGACAGATGGCTTTGGTAGGTTTTGTTGTTGTTGTTGTTATTGTTTGGTTGTTTTATTTTTTTGTTTTGTAGTACTGGGATGAAACCCAGAGCCTCCCACATACTATGCAAACACTTTAACACTGAGCTAAATCCTCTTGCCTTTTTTTTTTTTTTTCCTGAGACAGGGTCTCACTAAGTTACCTAGGCTGATCTGAATTTGGTTTCCTGCTACTCATTCTCCCAAGTAACAGGGATTACAGGCATGTGCCATTGTGCCTGGCTTGGTTTTGGTTTTCAAGGCCCATTTTCATACAAAAACAAATTTCACCTTAAGGAAGCTGCTACCTTATGTTCAACAATAAATCATGGAAGAGGCAGACCAGGCCCCAACTGATTTACTCCTGAATCCTCAATTATGTCATATTCATTTTTGTGCCTCAGATAAATTAAAGTTATTTGTTAATAAATATTATTAGTCTTTGGGATGACTCACAGATATCTAAAACCTCTAGTGTTAAAAATATGCAAATCATTTGCCAAAATACATTCTATAATTATATGTAACTAAAAAGAATAAATAAAAAAATTTAAATCTGCAAATCATGGATTTTACTAATCATTTCCTAGCAATCTCTAGTTATTTTTTATCACTTTCTAAAACAATTATATTTGGAGACAACAGCAATGTGTTCATCTTTTATTTAATTGTAAAACTAATCATAAATAGACTTCTTGGTATAAAAAAATCAACTACAGAAAAATATTTTCTTTCTCTCTCTCTCTGTCTTTACTCAGTACTGGGGATTGAACCCAGGGGCACTCTACCACAAAGCTACATCTTCTGCCCTTTTTGTTTTTTTGGTTGCGAGGGGATCTTGCTGAGTTGACAGATATAGGTTCCAAAAACACCCACTCTGAGCATGAATCCACCTAACATAACTAACATGGATGCAGCATCTTAAAGTTTATAAACACTTTCATGTACATCTGCTTTCATTCTCATGATCCACAGGAAACCCTCCAGATGTTTAAATTATCCTCCAACTTGTGATCATTCTGCCTTAGCCTCTCAAATTGCTGAGATTACATATAGGTGCCATGGTGCCTGGGAGCATTTTTCATCTGTATCAGCATTTCTATATATTTACTATAAAAAGTCTGGTCATTGTCCTTCATCCAATTTTTCTATAGGGCTATTTGCCTGTCCCTTATTTATTACTAGGAACTTCTTATATCACCCATGTGATCCTTTAATATAAATGTAAAAGATATAGAACATAGGTCATGTAGTCTTTTCATAAAGCAAAGAATTTAACTGTAGTCAAATGTGTCTTCGTTCATTTAACAATAATTTATGTCAACCAGGTGAGGTGGCACACACATATAATCCCACTGACTTGGGAGGCTGAGTCAAGAGGATCACAAATTCAAAGCCAGGCTCAGCCACTTAGGGATACCCTTAGCAACTTAGTGAGACTCCGTCTTTAAATTTAAAAATAAAACCAGAAAGGTCTGGAGATGTAGCTAGTGGTAAAGAGCACCTCTGAGTTCAATCCCCAGGAAGGAAATGGGAGGGGGGGAGAATTTATGTCAAAGAAAAAAAAACTGGGGTTCTATCTAGCTCAGTGGTAGAACCTAGCATGCCTAGCATGTGGGGGCCCTGGGTTCAGACCCCAGCACTGCTGGAAAAACACTGACATAACTGCAATGATAAAATTTACATTCTACTACAGGAGGTAGGCAATAAAATAAACAGGAAACATATAAAGTATATTATCAGGTGAAATGTGTTTTAGAATAAAACAGGGAAGTGTTTGCAATTTTAAAATAGGGCTCGGGAAGGTCTTGCTGGGTCTGAGCAACAAATTGAAAGAGATAAGGGAATGGGCCATTTTGATATAGGGAAAAACTTCATCCTAGGCAGAAAACATCAGGGCCAGATGTCCTGTAGGGAAGTACAGCCACAGACTCTCAGCACAGAAAGGCTGGGCTGCTAGAGTGGGAAGGGCAAGGCATAAAGGAGTAGGTAAAAGTTTAGTGAAAGGGAGCAGATATTGTAAGGCTTTACTGAAAGAACTTTGCCAGATGGGGTGGCACACACCTGTGATCCCAGCAATTTGGGAGGCTGAGGCAGGAGGACTGCCAAGTACAAGCCCAGCCTCAGCAACTTAGCAAGACCCTGTCTCAAAATAAAAAATAAAAAGGGATGGGGATATGGCACAGTGGTAAAATACCCCTCTGTTTAAAATCCCCAGTAGCAAACAAAATAAATAAATAAATAAATAAATAAAAAGGAGGGGACTTTGGACTCTTACTTTTTCAGAGTGAGAAAGTAATTCACTGGAGGATTTTAAGGGGGAAAAAACAACCCATATTTGACTTATAATTTAATAATCTGGCCTATTGTTTTAACAGACTGAAGGGAGTACAGGGGCCATGAAAGCAGAGACCCTTCTTGTTTTTGTTTGTTTGTTGTGGCACTAGGTATTGAACCCAGGGGTGTTCTACCACTGAGCTACATCAGTCCTTTTCATTTTTTATTTGGAGACAGGGTCTAATTACCCAGGCTAGCCTCAAACTTGTGATCCTCCTGCCTCAGGCTCCCAGGTAGCTGAGATTATAAGCATGCACCATCACACCCAGCTTGGGTCTTTCAATGTAATCTTAGGTTTAAAAACCCAAAATGGATGAACCCCCAACTGTTATTCCTAGGGAATAAGACTGAGGACAGAGAGAGCAAGAGGAAGGAAAAGGAAACTTTAACTTTCTACTTTGCCTCCTATTAAATACTTGAATATACTGCTTTTATAATTAAGAAAAAAAGGAATAAAGAAAAAGCAATAGGCCAACCTGCCTACCATAAACAGGTTACTATAGTTTATGGGCAAAGCTACAAATTGCTATAGGTAGAGGATATAATGCCCCTGGCCACTCCAAAAACAAGCAAAAAAAAAAAAAAGTCTGGGGAAGACAAGGGAGTGGCACAGTTGGTATATATTGAGGAAACTATCTGAGATTAAATCAATATTTTATGTACTGAGAATTCAATTAAAGAGTTTTTGTGCTCTGGCCCCCAAAATGTGTCCTAGATACAATAAGGTATGGCTAGATGCTCTGGACCCACCTTCTGTGCTCTCAGGGGACTTACACATTTATAAGAGACACAAACAAAAAAACAAGATAAATGAGAACGAGAAGATATGGTAAGGGTGGACTTAGGGCCATCAGGGAGGGAATTCTTGTTAGAAAAGTAACAGAACTCTGGGAGTGGTGGCACACATCTCTAATCCCAGCTACTCAGGAGGCTAAGGCAGGAAGATCACAAATTTGAGGTCAGCTTGGGCAGCTTATTAAGAACCCCTCTCAAAGTAGAAAGGGTGGGGATGTGACTCACTGGCAGAGCATCACTGAGTCCAATGCCTATCTCCAGTACTGGGCTGGGGAGTGGCAGAGCTTCAGGCAGAGAAAGACCCATAAGAAAGGGCTTGGTTTAAACAAGGAACAAAGGAAAGGCTACAAGACAAGGAGTGAGAATCCTGGTAGGAGTTCTGGGAGGGAGGAAAGATCCACAGCAGGGAGGGTGGAGCAAGAGGGATAATTAAAAGGTTAATTTTTTTTTCCCAAGGGACAACAGGAAGCCACCAAATGGGTTTTAAGGAAGAAAAATGGCATGATCCTATATGTCTAGAAGACAACTGTATATAGGAGTCGGCAAAAACGTAGCAGGGAGACTGTTAGATGGCAAGAGGGGAGTCTGTGGACAGATTCTGTTGAGCACACTGGGACATGTTCTGAAAATAGAACTGACACGACCTGGTCCCTCAATAAGAGAAGTTTCCCTAGAGTGCTGGTGATTTGAAGACACACTGGAAGAGGATGAAAGAGTGAGAGCAAGGGAGGTGGAAACAGAGTTAGAGCAGCTTTCTATGATGGAAGTAGAGAAAGGACAGGAGCTACAGAGGGCTGGGGAATCAAGGGAACAGGACTTTGTTTTTTAAAGAGAGTATGTTTGTATACCAATAGTAATGATGTTCAGAGTGGGAAGGCTGACAATGGAATTAGGAATGAGAGCTGAGCTGCTGGTTTATAGATCTGGTGGAAGTAGAATGAAGATATTCCCTTTGGATGGTTTCTGGTTTCATATCTCATAAAACAAGATCATTGGATAAGGCAAAGGATGGGAATGTTTGAGGAAAAACTTCTCAGAGATTGGGAATGAAATTTCCAAGGATAGTTCTCTGTGCTTACCTGAAGTTTGTCGTGGTGCATTTAAATTACGTGATTGTGGGATTTCTCTCTTACTCCAGTACAGTTGCTCAAGTCCAAGAGCAGAGTTGGGTTTAAGCAGCCAGGCATGATAGAGACAGATGTAATGGAGTTGTTCCAACTCTTTGTAAAAGAATGATGAAAATAAAAACCCGTGGAATCTCTGCTAGGGAAATCAGGAGGTGTCATAAAGTAAAAAAGCATGAGATGGATACTCTGAAATTCTCCATGGAATTGAGGAACTACTGGATCAAGAGAGTTAGAAGAGGAGGTGGAGGTCAGAATGAAATGTCAAGAATTTTGACTTTAGAAATCCCACTGAAGGGGATGAGATTGAGATGTAGTTCAGTCATAAAGCACTTGCCTAGCATGCATGAGGCCCTGGATTCAACCTGCAGACTGTAAAAAAAGAAAGAAATTCCTACTGAAAAACCTGTTCCTTCCATATGGAGAGGAGGTGGGGCATTGAGATGGAATGGAATTGAGTTACCCACAGCTATTCCAATAAGTGACTATATTCAGGATACTAATACTCTCCTCTGTGCCAAACTGCACAGATCCTGAGGCTCTGACAGGGGAGAAGGCAGACAAGGCTCCTGACCAACACTATTAATACCCAAGTGTTCAAAATATTTTGTCCTGAAGGAGGGAAGTGTCAGCTAAAGAAAAACCCAACAAAAGAATATAATGGCATTTTGTTTACACTTTACTTTTATTTTGAAACAAGGTCAAAATAAAGTTAGCTTTTAAGTTACAATCTTCCTGCCTCAGCCTCCTGAGTAGCTGGGATTACAGGGGTGTGCCATCATGCCTGGATAGTCACATTTCACTTTAATAAAATGATAGTGCTTAGGCTTCTTAGCCATAATACTAAATTTCATATTTGGATGAACATGATTTGTGGCTCCCTAAAATTAAATCTGTCTATCTACAAATGATAATAATTGCCATCATCAAAATCATATTCCCTGGGAGGAAAGAAGCAATTCCAACAAATTCCAAAAATGCTCTGAACAATTACAACCACAGACACAACACATTCAAGGTCACCTCTTAGTATGTACATTTTCCCTCCAGTACTGGGGATGAACCCATGGCCTCATGCATGCTAGCACTCTACCACTGAGCTACATCCATTTTGTGACAGAATCTTCCTAAGCTGCAGGGGCTGGCCTCAAACTTGTGATGCTCCTGTCTCAACATCCCAAGTAACTGGGATTACAAGCATACACCACTGTACCAGCTTTCAAGGACATCTCTTTGAAGAAGATAGAAATGAGCTGGTTTTATGTCCTCTTTTCTATCTATATCCCTTCTTTGGTGATTTTTTCCACATTCTAATACTTTCAAATGCATATAAATAATATTGAGTCTCAAATTTATATTCTCTCAGACCTCATCCATAATGCTGGGCTTGCACATCTAACTGCTCACACCCCCACCTGGATGTCTCACACCAGAATTAACATGTCCATCTCAGACACATAGAATCTCTTCATTCTCTCATACCCCACATCCAGTCAATTAGAAAATCCTATTGTTAATACCTTGAAAATATGTCCAGAATCTACTGATTTCTATTTCTGTTACTAACACACTTGTTAAGCCATAACCATCCCTCACATGCAAAAAAGCCTAACCAGTCTTCCACCTTTGCCACCTTTCATCCACTCTTCACATAGCAGCTAAGATAATCCCTTTACAAAATAAATTTCTCTACTAAAATTTTTCCAGTGGTTCTCAAAGTTCTGTGAAGCCTGGCATAACCTGGTTCCCAATTTGACCCTTCTCAGACCTCACGGACTTCTTTTTCTCTTCCTGCTCTCTGGTCACACTAGGTTCCTTCCTGCTCCTTGAACAACCAGGAATGTTCCCTGCACAGAGGAATGGGGCCTCTTCCCCAGAGGCCCACACTCTCATCATGGTCTCCCATTGCTCTGGCCAATGTCCTCTCCTAAAGACCTAGAATGACAAGCACATCATTTCTTTTCCTGTTTTGTCTTCTTAACACATCATAATGTAACTTTCTTATTTCTCTTAGTATCTGACTTTCCAACTAAAAAAGAAATCAGTGTCTTTGTTTCTTTCACCACTCTACCCATGGCACCTACAATGAAGAAAGTACTTTCTATAAATTCCTTCCCCTTCTCCCTAACTCCTTCCTTTAAGATGCCTCCATCTATATTCAGGAGGAAACCATGGCATCCTCATTAGCCATTTATCAAACTGCAGCTTTGTAGGTGCATTTCCTGATCTCTCCCTGCCTTTTGCTTGTTGCAAATTCACAAAGAACCTTTCTTCGTTCAACAATCTTTAATTGTCTTCTAAAGCCACTGACTGCATACTGGTAGACTCAGCTTCCACAGAAATGACAACCATATAGAGTGTAGCATACACTGGTTATCAATGGGACAAAGATCTTGGAGTTTCTTATGAAAACTGAATTGACTCCTTGATGTCTCTTTCAAATAAAAGAAAATTTTAAAAATCAATAATACCGAGCTGGGGTTGTGGCTCAACCGTAGAGCGCTTGACTAGCACATGAGAGGCCCTGGGTTCGATCCTCAGCATCACATAAAAACAAACAAAGTAAAGGTATTGTGTCTTAACTATAACTTTAAAAAAATCAGTAATACCATCATGGTTTAAAAATCAAGAAAAAACTGCTCATAATTCCCCTTTTGTCTTACACAATTTCTGCCACTTTTGCATTTTTCCACAAAAATATTTAATTTTGCAGTTGAAAATAACACACTACACAATTCTAAATCTTCCTTTTTTTAACTTATTTTCTTTTTCTTTTTTCATTACTGAAATGATTTTTTAAAAATTTATTCTAATTTCTTAAGATTTTCTTCCTGTTGCTACATGAGTAATCCTAACTACATTTAAATAGCTATAGAATATTCCATCAAGTGGTTGGACCATAATTTAACTAATTGTTCTCCTAAAATTGTTGGTCCTAGTTTTCCACGAGTATAGTACTCCTTTATGCATTTAGCTTTTTTCCTTCCTTCAGATTCTTTTCTTCTTTTAAAATTAAAATCCCAGATATGAGATTATTGGGCTCAAAGACAGATATAAAGAGCCTTTATGGATCTTTAAGACAGGATCTCCTATGTGGCCCAGACTAGCCTCGAACTCCTGAGCTTAAGTGATCCTTCTGACTCAACCTCCCAAGTGCTAGGACTAGAGGCAGGTGCCACTACATCCACTTCCTTTTATGGGTCTTAGCCCAGAAAGCCAAATTGTTCTCCCAAAGAACTGACACAAGTGATAATGCAGAAGAAAACCATGTACTCACTCTCTTCACGGCTCCTTCCCCAACACGCTTCAACTGTCTTACTTCTGTCCTCAGCTCCTCACAGGACAGCCAGGGTGAACAGTTTTTCATCTGCCCCATTTTGAAGTAACCATATGGACAAGATCTAGGGTCCTTGGTGGAATGTTGAGGGGATATGAAAAATCGGTCAAAGCAGAGGTAAAGGACCACATTCATAAGGGCCATGGCGAGCAGCAGCCCAACAACACGAGGGACTTCTCTGTGGGTCAGACCTTTCCTGCTCTCCTGGGCTTTCCTTTCCATGTTGTTATCCTGTATCAGTTCCTGCAATATAACAAGAGACAAGAAGCAATAACACTTTCAGCTATAATTTCCATGAAGTGTTTTGATGACACTGGCCTGAAGGTAGCTACACTCTCTCATGCCTCCCCACTCGTAGGTCCTATAAGTTTTGGAGTCACATGAGGAGCAAGAGAGGAACTGAACATTAGGCTTATATTAACCACTCAATTTCAGCTTTTCCCGCACCCCCATACTCATTATTCTTTTTCTAAATTTTTTGGCAACAGGGATTAAACTCAGGGTTACTTAACCTCTAATTCACAACCCTACCCCCGACCCTTTTAAATTTTGAGACAGGCTCTTGCTAAGTTGCTGAGGCTGGTTTTGAACTTGCAATCCTCCTGCCTCAGCCTCACAAGTTGATGGGATTATAGGCATGTGCCGCCTGGCTCATTATTCTTTATTAAATTAAAATTTGGATTCATCTAGATTATGCAGAATGGGAGGTGTCTGCCTTTGACTCTGTCTTACAGCACTTTGCACTAAGTAGATATGCATTAATATTTAGTAAAATAAAAGCAGTGGTGCTGGGGCAGAAGATGGACAAAGGGGTACATTAGTAGGTTGGGCCCACTTGAACCCAGCTAAGAAACTGGGATGTTCCTTGGAAGGTACTCAAAAGCCCTTGAGAAGGTGGAGCTGTAACTCAGTGGCAGAGCACTCACCTAACATGTGCAAGGCCTAGGTTTCAACCCTGGCAGGGTGGGGGAGGGAGTTCATGGTTTATTTTTTCATTTGTGTTTCTACTGATTGAACCCAGTGTAGTGGGTATGCTATATGAGTACTCTACCACTGTGTTACACCCCCAGCCCAAACTGTGAACATTTTATATATATTTTTAATTGTAGATGAACACAATATCTTTATTTTTTAATTTTTATATGGTGCTGAGGATCGAACCCAGTGCCACATGTGTGCCAGGTGAGCACTATACCACTGAGCCACAACCACAACCCCCAAACTCTGAACATGCCAAATTGTTTTCCCAAAGAGCTGATATGAAAGGTGAGTCTGGGATGTTCCTTGGAAGGTACTTGGAGGCTTGGAGACCAGTTAGGAGGACCTGGAAATGATCTGAGATAAGAATCAAAAAATTAAGGATAGAGTAGGGACGAAGAGCAGGAGAAGAAGATTAACATTAAATTGGGATGAGAGGTGGGAGGGAAAGGGAGAGAGAAGGGAAATTGCAGGGAAAGGGAAGGTGATCCTCAGGGTTATACAAAATTACATACAAGAGGAAGTGAGGGGTAAGGGAAGAATAATACAAGTGGAAGAAATGTTTTACAGTAGAGGTGGTCGAGAGAGAAGAGGGGAGGGGAGGGGAGGGGAGGGGGGATAGTAGAGGATAGGATAGAGAGCAGAATTCATCAGACACTAGAATGGCAATGTGTAAATCAATGGAAATGTAACTGATGTAACTGATGTGATTCAGCAATCTGTATACGGGGTAAAAATGGAAGTTCATAACCCTTTTGAACCAAATTGTGAAATATGATATATCAAGAAAGATGTAATGTTTTGAATGACCAACAATAAAAAAAAAGAATCAAAAAATTTATGAGCTAGAATAAGGGTGGTAAGATTAGAAAAAGAACTCAGGTGACAGTGGCAATAAGTAACCCTGAGAAGGGATGGACTCCAGCAATGGAGCCACTATAGGGTCTGTGTTGGAGGGGTCCAGATGGGGAACAGGCCTGGGGAAAGACAATGAGCAGAGTGCTTGTCACTCAGGATGCTGGGGGCAAAGGCTATGTATGAAGCAGAGTAGAGGACCATCAGTACAACAGTAAAGCCATATTACTATGTGTCAGCTGAATATAGGCACTGGGATGCCCAGAGATACTAGTGATAGAATTGCCTTGTGTGCTACTTGTGCCAGATACAACTATGACATGAAACTTTACCTTCCAGGAGCATCTTCCTTCTCCCAGCTAGGTCTCCATCCAGTTGTCTGTGTCAAACAGTGTTCTGGTTGGTCTCAGGGACTGGTTTGAAAGTCCTCTTCCATAAAGTACCAAAAAAGGAGGTTTGTTAAAGAAAAATTGCAACTCTGTACACAGACAAGTCACAGCAGTCCAAATGATTCATTCTTCTTTCCTAGAGGCCCTCCTAGTGACCAGATGTCTCTTGGACTTTCAAGCTCCAGGAGCTACAGGGAAAGCCTTGGACAACCTGGCCAGCATCACCAAAACCCTGTCAGCCTATGTGGGTGCAGACCCCCTCATTTCCTCACCAGTCTCTATTTGGTTCCAATCTGCTTTTTCCACCATATTAAGTAATGTCCACTGGCCCATCTCTGCACTGAGCACTTGAAATACACGAGTGAATTAAACAGACATGGTTCCTATCCTCTTAGAGCTTAATGAAAAAATCAGGCAGGAAAGACAGATAATAAATAGATAAATAAAATTCATCATTATCTTGTGATGAGGATTCAAGGATAGAGAATAAATGGTTGAAGAATCCAAGAAGAGCTTTTTGAAGATATAACATTCATATCAAGCCCAGAGGCCTGAGAGGAGCCAGCCGGAAGACAGCTCTTTCGTACCTTGTCCTTAAGGAAGTAAAATCTACCTTCCAACAGGCATATGAAAAATGCTCAATTCCATTTGTCTTGAAGGCAAATGCAAAAAAAAAAAAAAGAATTATGAAATACATCTAGGATGGTTACAATAAAAATAAATCGAGCAATAAGAAATGTTTGTGAGGTTAAAGAAAAACTGTAGTCCTCATATATTGCTGGTGGGAATGTAAAATGTAGCCACGGTGGCAAATAATGTAGCATAATATAGTATTTCTTTTTTTCTTTTTCTTTTTTGGTAATGGGACTTGAACCCAGCGATGCTTAACCACTAAGCCATATCCCTAGCCCCTTTTTATTTTTTATTTGAGACAGGGTCTCACTAAGTTACTTAGAGCATTGCTAAGTTGCTGAGGCTGGCTTTGAGCTTGCAATCCTCCTGCCTCAGCCTTCCCAGCTATGCTACTATGCCTAGCACAATACAGCATTTCTATTTCAAACATATTTACCATATCACCCAATAATTCCATTGCTCAGAATATACTTATATGAATTGAAAACATACATCAAATGTTTATATTTGTACACAAATGTTTATTGTAGCATCATTTATTTATTTTAAATATCTTTATTTCAGTTATTTAGTTTTATGTGGTGCTGAGGATCGAACCCATGGTCTCACACATGCGAAGCGAGCATTCTACCACTGAGCTACAACCCCAGCCCAAGTAGCATTATTTATAACAGACAAAGAATAGAAATGACTCCAATTAGTTAATAAATGGATAAACAAAATGTATCACATTCATAAATAGATTATTATCCAGCCATAAAAAGGAATAAAGCACTATTACTGCTCAAACAGGGATGAACCTTAAAGACATTATGGTCAATGAAAGAGGCCAGACACAAAAAGCCACATGTTGTATGATTTCATTTATATGAAATGTCCAGAATAGGCAATTCCATGTAGACAGAAAACAGAAACGTGATTGCACAAAGTTTGGGGGGCAAGGAGATGAGGAATGGCTACTAATTAACATGGGATTTCATTTTAGATAAAAAATTCTGGATTTAGTGGTGATAGGTGCACAATCTTATAAATATGTGCTTTAAAAAATCAAGGAATTGTACACTTTTAAATGACAACTTTTATAGTATCTAAATTATGTTTCAATTGAAAAAGATAAAATAACAAACTGTACTTCTGATCTTTTTCCCTAATCTATTCTTTCTGTGCTGTTCACAAGCTCTGTGAATGATTACTCCATCCTTCTATTTCCTAGCCAGTGACGCTGTAGGAGGGACCAGCACATAAGTACTGCTTTTTCTAATCTGGGAATTTTTAAATAATTTATTCTTCTATAATTTGAATATATATATTTATATATATATATATACACACACATATACATAATTTTTAAATATTTTTTAGTTGCAGATGGATACAATATCTTTATTTTATTTATTCTTATGTGGTGCTGAAGATCAAACTCAGTACTTCACACATGCAAGGTAAGCGCTCTACCACTGAGCTACAACCCTAGCCCATAAATATATATATTTTCTTAATTGGCAAAGGAAAACGCTGCTTGCTTAGCCTTGCTGTCATTAAAGACGCCCAGGAAACCCTGACTATGGAACCACTTCTGTTTCACTCTATACCTTCCCTCTCCTGGACATAATGCCAGCTGCTTGCTCACCCCACTACCTCAGCCTTCCCAAGTGTGCCTGTCTATGGTCAGGATGATCATTTGCTTACCTTTCTCATAAAGCTTCCAGGCCCACATCTTTCTCTCTGGTCCATTCCCTCATATCACCTTCAGGATCTTCAATTGAAATTATAACTTTTACTACTAATGTCTTAGTCTCTACAGCTGATTCTTGGAAGGTACACATAAAGAAATAGATAAAATGGTTGCAGTCTTTTTTACAATAATTAAGTGACCAAGTGTTTCTCAACTTAGACCTCAGGTCCAGGAGCAGCAAACTTCTTTTTATAAAGTAACAAATGGTAAATATTTAGGCTTAGCAGCTATAAGTCAAAGTCTAGCAATAAACCTATCACTGTGATTTGCAGTAAACTGAGAGGTGGTACAAGGTAACATCTGGTCCTATATTGTCTCTGTCACAATTATTCAACTCTGTCACCAGAGTGTGAAAACAGCTCCAAACAATATAACAAATGTGTGTGGCTCTGTTCCAGTAAGATTCATTTATGGACACTGGAATCTAAATTTCATATATTTTTCATGTATCATGAAATATTATTCCTTATTAGATCCCAACCACCCCCACAATACTTAAAAAAATAAAGCATTCTTAGCTATTAGGCTATATAAAAACAGGCCAGAGCTGGCCAATTGCAACATCAGGTGATATTCCTTTGGCCAAGGTCATCTCATCCACATCTGTGGCTTCAGTGGCTCTCTAAATATTTATGATTTCTAAGTCTATATTGCATCCCTGAATTTTCTCCTAAACACTTCACTTAATAGGTTCTTCAAGGTCTGGGATGACAACAGCTGACTCCAGAGACTCTTTCCTGTCCTCACCATGCCCCTTCTCTAGGGTTTCTACACTGGACACACAACCTACCCACTCACTGAGTCATGAACCAGGGTGACTTGAAACCAACCAATCAGCACACATAGCCAATTCTATCACCCAAACCTCTTCAAATCTGTTCATATTTGCCCTTCCTTGCCACCTCTGCCCTGGTATTAAGTCATCAATATCTCTTACCTGAACTTCTGCAAGAGTTTCCTGCATGGTCTCCCCCTTCTTTCTCTTTTCCAATCCATTCTCCACAGAGCAGATAGGGTCTTTTCCTTTAATAAAATGTTCCAAGAGAAAAATAAAAAGTAAAACTGTGCATATCTATTTGGCTTTGTCAATTTACAATGTATATTTGTTTCCAATATTTTGTTTTGTTTTTGATATTGGGAAATAAACCCAGGGCTCTCAGAGGCTTAAGCACACATTCTACAACTGAGCCCAAACTTTGTGAAAGAAATAAAATAGTGTATATACATTTAAAACCACTCTGAAACCTGTCCAGTTTGAGTCACTCCATCCCAAGCAGCTGTCACTATCCTCACATTGGTATGTATCAGCAATTCTCAAACTGTGGGCCCTGGACCTGTCTGTAGTAGCACCTCACTGGGAACTTGAGAGAAATGCAAATTCTTAGGTATTTACCACAGAAACAAATTCTGTTTTAGTAAGTTCCTCTAGGTGATCTGGACGCATGCTAACGTTTCAGAACCACTGGTGTATGCAATCCTCTCACATGCTTTCTATTTTCACAAGATTGAACCCATAAGCAATAACACATTTTCAAGCTTTATACAGTGGTTGTGTACTTGTATTATCCATTTGCAACTAATGATGTTTTTTAAACTCAACAATGGTTCTGAGATTTATTTATGTACATGAAATGCCAGTTCACCTTTTTTTGGTACTGGGGATTGAGCCTAGGGGCACTTTACCACCAACTTACATCCCCAGACCTTTTTGAGATAGGGTCTCAAAGTTGCTTAGGGCCTTGCTAAATTGCTGAGGCTGGCTTTGAACTTGTAATCCTCCTGCTTCCCCCCCACACACACAAGATGCTGGGATTACAGGTGTGAGCCACTGAATCTTGCCAGTTCACTATTTTTTTAAAAAATAATAATAATAACTTTATTTTTTTGTCTTCATACATGTACTTTGGATACTATTTTTTTAATATATTTACTTTATTTATTTTTATGTGGTGCTGAGGATCAAACCCAGGGCCTCACATGTGTGAGGCAAGCACTCTACTACTGAATTATAACTCTATTCCCTTCTAGTTCACTATTTTTAATCATCTGACCACACTATAAGTTTTTTATTTTTCAAAAGCTATACATATATTAAATACTGAGAAATACTAAATATCATAGACATCTACGTTGCTGAGTTATACTCTTGAACAACTCCCGAGAGCTATGGGGATGGTCACACAATGATCATTAAAGACAGAGTCCTAGTCCCTACCTGCCCTGGCAGTTTTAGTGAAACAAGTTTGGAACACATCTCCTTAGATATATGTGCAAGAGTTGCTTTCTGACAGATATAATGATTCTTCCAAATCACATATTTAATTTCTTCTGGATTAAAAACATTCAACAGCTCCTATTTGTACTCAGGAAAAAGTTCAAACTTTCAGAAGATTCCCTGAGAGGTTGGGGATGTAGCTCAGTAGTTAGAACTGAGTTTCTTCACCAGCCTTCTAACCCCATCCACCTCTCCAGACCCTTCCCTGCCCTACACTCCAGCTCAAAAGCACCCTTTGGGGCTGCAGCTCCAGGTTTGGCTCATCTGTTCCTGTTAGACTGTTCTATAGAGGTCTGCCTGCCTGCTCTGTTCCCCACATGTCCTTCAGCACCTGGCACACAGCAGACACTAGTATCTGCCTTCTAATGTCTCTTACCCACCACCTCTTTCCATTTTTTTAATTCTTTCAACCTTCAAGTTCTCCTTTATCTGTAACCTTCCACTGATCCTACCTTGTCACTAAGGATGGCTTCAGGTTTTATGGGGCTTGAAGCTTATATAATTTTGGGAAGGAAAGGATAAGAAAAGAACATGTAAGCCAGTGGCACACATCTGTAATTCTAGCTACTCAGGAGGTTGAGGCAGAAAGATTCCAAGTTCAAGACCACCCTGGGCAACTTAGCAAGATCCTGTCTCAAAATAAAATTTAAAAAGAAAGGGTTACAGATGCAGCTCATTGGTAAAGCACTTGCCTAGGATGCACAAAGCCCTGGGTTTGATTTCAGTACTTCCCCAAAATAAAAAACAAGAATAAAAAAAAAATCACAATTATGAGTTTAAAACTGCTGGACCTCCTTGCCAGGGATTTGTGCAAATGAAGAATCTAGACTATAAATTCACATCTGCTTATCATTCTCTAGCACCTGGTATCTTGCTCTCTACACTTTCTTCATTTTCACTCTTCTATGGTTTGGATACCCTTTCCCCAAAGACCAAGTTGGTCACCAGCCTGTGGCACTATTGCAAGTGGTTCAACGAACGTTGAAGAGGCAGAGCCTAATGAAAGGAAGTTAAGTCATTCGGGGAAATAACCTTGGAGGGCATTTTGGCCCTGGGTCCTTTCCTGTGTCTTTTTGCTTCCTGGATGCCATTGAGATAAAGAACTTTCTTCCACCACTTGCTCCCACCATGATGTACTGCCTTACCACAGGCCAAAGCAATAGGGCCAACCCCTGATAGACTGAAATTTCCAAAATGGTGAGCCAAACTAAATCTTTACTCTTCTTGTATTGATTTAAATCAAGTATTTGTTACAGCAGTGGAAAGCTGACACACTCAAAAACTACCAACATCAGATACAAAATTCTATAACTCTCGATCTCTGATCACTATTGTACCTTTGACATTACTCAGCACACTGTTAATGCATTTCTCGTTGCCTCTGTATTTTATATGCATCAATAGCCTTTTAATTATCCCTAAGGCCTCACACTCTGAATTCTTCCTCAAAAACACTCATCCAAAAATTCAAATGACTTTTACACAGTGTCAACTTCAACCAATTCTGTGATGTAGATATAATTCGTGTTGTTATTCCTAACTTACAGATAAAGAACTGATTCAAAGGTGAAGTGACTTCTCCAAGGTCATTAAACTATACAAGTTTTGGCCTCAAACCCACATTTTTCCTTTAAACCCTGCAACGTTCAAGGGCTGAACTGAATTGAACCCACTATGATCACTGGGATGGGGGTGTGTGTGACACTGAGACTGACAGTTTATTAAAGAAGGTTTTAGCCCATCTCAATATCTGATTGGCTTTTTAATTTTAAAAGTATATTTCTAGAGCAGGCTGCCTAGAGCTTAGAATGAGGTAGTGTGGCATAAGAATTTTGTCCTAGAAATAAAACAAACAAAACACTAAGATTTACTGGTCCTGAAAAATACCTTGCACATTAAGGAATAAGGAATGTGGGAGTCAGTTGGGTAGGAAATATTTAGGAACTATTTAATTAAATACAAAGGATTTCTGTCACTGATAAAATCTTGATAATTAGGGGAGGTGACAGATGGGATCCACTGCTGTAGAGGCACAGCTTAATTTTAACCAATTTACAGAACATTTTATACAATTCTAGAAGTGACAGATTAGTGTCAACCAATACAATGTAGAGCAGAACCCAATTTTCCGGTAAAACACAAGGTACATTAACTATTTTAAATATTCTGGATGCTTACTTAGCGTTTGGGTTCCATTGTAAAGGTAATGGGAGGAAAATACAAAATTACTAAGTAGCTAAATTTTGCTTTAAAAAAAAAAAAGGAAAAGAAAAGAAAAGCAGCATATGGTCTCACTTCACACAGCTCTGGCAGAAACGAACCCGTACATAACAAGCGCCAGATGGAAGGACTGATGTCTGCCTGTCACGGGCGGAGTCCTCCGGCCTTCAGCAGCGGGGTGAAAGGCGATGCGGGCCGGTACAGCCCAGCAGGTGAGGCACACCTCGGAGCGGGCGGCCCGAGGCTGTACTGAGTCCGAGCCTGTCCACCCGGAGCCTGGGCCCGAGGCGCTGGCCAGCCAGGTGCGGCCCGGCACAAAACAGAGCCTCCTTCCCGACTTTCCGGGGACTCACGCCAGCAAAACGCAGCGCCTCTCGCCCTCGCGCACGCAGCCTACTGCGCCGGCGCGGCCGGAAGCAGCCCTGGAAAGGCGAACACGAGGCTGCCCTCTAGTGTCCACTGTTCACCATGCACCCAGAGGCCTGACCCAGCGGAGCAAAACCTGAGTTTAAGCCCAGCCTAGGTGCTTTTCTTACATCCGAACTTGTGAGCATGTGCTGACCCAGTCTGGTCTTAGCATGATGCTGGTTCCTGTGAGATCTAGACTCACAGGGCTGGGGCCATGGGTCAGTGGTAGAGCGCTCGCCTAGCACATGTGAGGAACTGGGTTCAATCCTCAGCACCACATAAAAATAAATAAATAAAATAAAGGTCTTGTGTCATCTACAACTTAAAAAAAAAAAATCTACATTCACTGTAAAGCGGTAGTTCCAAAGTCTGGTTCTCAGATCAGCAGCACCGGCACATTATATGAACTACAGATTCTTTGCCCCATCCTAGGTCAGGCCTCTGGGCAATTCTGATGCCAATGGAATTTGAGAATCACTGGTGTAAAGGACACTGTGGGCTGTGGGGATTCCCCCAGAGAGCAGTAAAGCTGAGCTTCACACATTCAAAGACCAGCAGATAACAACTTAAGCAAGCCTAAAGATTTGGAGAAAGTAGAAAAGCCTCAACACACCATACCAATATTGGCACTTGGTGGGAAAATGATAGGGGTAAGGAATAAGTTGCAACATTGAAAATGAGACATAGAGTGATGTAACTTTTTGTTTAAGTTAGAAATGTCATCTAGCCAGGTGCAGTGGCACACACCTATAATCCCAGTGATTCTAGGCTGAGGCAGGAAAATTACAGGATGGAAGCGAGCCTCAGAAACCTCAGCAAGACTTCAGAGATCCTCAGCAACTTAGCAAGACCCTGTCTCTAAAAAATAAAAAAAGAGCTGGGGATGTAACCCACTGGTAAACTTCCCTAGGTTTAATTCCCACCATCCTCCCCAACAAAAGTAGTACCCTCATACTGACCCGTTTTCCAAGTTGGAAACTAAGAGAATAACAGAATGTGAGTTTAAAAGAACTGAACCTGTACTAAAAGTCTATACAATGAATATTAAAACTACAATCCTTTGGGGCTGGGGTTATGGCTCAATGGTAGAGCGCTTGTCTAGCATGTATGAGGCACTGGGTTCGGTTCTCAGCACCGCATATAAATAAGTGAATAAAATAAAGGTCCATCAACATCTAAAAAATTTAAAAACAAAACTACAATCCTTTGTGGGGCCCTGGGTTCTATCCCCTGCACAGTGAAAACAAAACAACAACAAAACACCTAAGAGCTACTTTTGCCTGTCAAAAAGAATTGGAACACATACTACAGATGCCCAGAATCTGTTTCCCCACCTCTTTCACAGTGTAAAATGGAAGAACCTGTACTAATTCCTCCTGTGTGCCCTAGCAAATCCCATTTCTAGGAATCTGTCCTGTGGAAATAATACATGTGGAAATTTGTCCTGTGGAAATATACACAAGAGATCTGAGTATTATGAAAAATAATATTTGTAGTAGAAAATAAATCCAAAAGTATAATAGGGATTGTGGAAGGAAATTATATTCCCCACAGTCTTTAAAAATATTTAAACTGGGGCTGAGATTGTAGCTCAGTGGTAGAGCACTTGCCTAGTATGGATTCTAGGATTGCCTACTGGATTCAATTCTCAGTACTGCATATAAATAAAATAAAGGTCCATTGACAACCAAAAAATATTTTTAAAAAAATGTTTAAATTACATCTAAATGCCCAGGCTTGTAATCCCAGTGATTTAGGAGGCTAAGGCAGGAGGATGGCAAGTTTATATGCAGGACCCTGGGTTCATCCTCAGTACTGGGGGTGGGGTGGGGGAAATGATGCTATATAATGGTACAAAGATTCAGTTTTGGAAGATGAAGAAGTTCTGTAGATGGATGGTGGTGATGGATGAACAACAGTGTGAACATACTTAACACCACTGACCTGTACACTTAAAAGTGGTTAAATAGTAAGTCATTATGTGTATTTTACAATAAAACAATGATGCTATAGACCTATATGTACATGTACTGACAAGAAAGAATATTCACAATATATGACTAAGGGTGGTGAACCAATCTAACTTTTAAAAATGTGTATTTATTCTTTCTATAGTGTTTATCTATTTGTGTGTGTGAGTATGTGCGAAAAATAAGCCTGGTAGCAATATGTGATATGTATTAGATAGAGGTAGACCATTTAGGAGGCTCATGAAACAAACCTATTAAATAAAAAATAATTTTCAAGAGTTAAAGGAAAATGTGAGATATGTGAACCTCTGAATATAAGAACTTGGAAGAAAAAAATCAAGAGTTGAAAATTCAGTAGATATAGGAGAGTAAGAAAGAAATTAATAAAATTATGTACAGTCAGTTCTATGGCACACTCTAAAGATGAAAATTTGTTTCAATATGACTGGTATATTAAGAAATAATACTAGCACAACACAAATTTCCTATTTGTTGATGTGCAGTTTTATCCTAGAAAAGCGCTTGTGTGGATGCAAAAACCAGGTCTGGGGTTGTAACATAATGGTAGAGAGATTGCCTCTCATGTGTGAGGTTCAATCCTTAGTACCACATAAAAATAAATAAATAAATGAATAAATGAATGAATGAAGAAAGAAAGAAAGAAAGAAAGGTAGGTATAAAAAATGCAGCCAGCTAAGACATGCTGCATAGGTATACACAAATCACACAAGGACATTTCCTAACATCTATCAGTGTCTTTATCGTGTTATGAGCCATATCCATGCACATCCGGTTTTACAACTGTCAGATTTCAAATGACCCTTCCTCTACCACTTCACAATAACTCACAAGCTGCTACCCTTCCTATGACTGCTATGCTTCACACAAGGTAAAGCGCCAAATTTATTATCATACATATGCCTTTTTTGTTGTTGTTTTTTGGTGCTAGGGATTGTATCCAGGTCCTCATGCATGCTAGACAAGCACTGTACCACTGAGCTGCATTCCCAGTTCACATATGTGCTCTTGAACTACTGATGTGAGTAAAACTGTGCTGCCATTTTGATCTTTTTAATTTTTTTAGCCAATAAACTTTTTGAGTGCTAGAGAACCCCAGTTTTCTGTAAACTCCCAAGGTTTTTTTTTTTGTTTGTGATTTTTTAAAATACATATTCAATTTTATTGCATCAAAAAATTCATTTAAACCACATGGTGGCCAAAATGCTCACATCCTAACTCCAAGATTTTTATTTAGGATTTTGTATAGAATGATGAGTCTTAGGGGTACAACTGTCATGTTCTAGTAGAACTGACTGTAGAATTTCAGTAACCAACCAACCATCAGATGACAGGGAGATGAAATTTTGTTTGAAATGGAGTGGTAAGCAAGTTAACATTAAGCAGGAATTTACTTCTCTGGTGAAAGGGCAGTAATAAAGATTCCTTTTACATAGGAATTATCTGTCCCAAAGGATACTGATCGATTAGAAACTCTGATTTCAGGCCCAGCGAGTGTGTTGAGAGGAAGCAAAAACAAAAACACTGCAAAAGTCAATAAAGCAGAGATCTAAATAAAGATAAATGGGTTGACTCCTGGTAAGATGGAGTGAACACATGAAAAACTTTCTTTTCCACGAAACACAGTTTTAAAATCTAAATAGAACAAATGGCACAGCTATTTGGAGTGAATCAAAGAACACCAGAAATTGAAGCACTACAGAACAGGTCAAAATGTTCCTTTTCCTGATTTCCTCTGACCTGAACTCACTCAACAAATCTCAAAACATGGGAACTCTCTGGTCCTGGCTTATGGAGCAAAAAAATGGAATCTCTGAAACACTGAGTACCACTGAGCTACATTCCTAGTTTACATATGCATTTCTTAACCATTGAAATAAAACTGTTGTCATTTTGATTATCTTTCTATTTTATTTCCAGGATGAAAGTACACATCATTTCTCTCTCCTCCTCCTCCTCCCTCTCTCCTTTTTTCTTTATTTCCTTGCATGGAAGCCCCCAGTAACTCTGGTCACAAAAAGCAGGGGCTGGGGTTGTAGTTCAGTGGTAGAGCATTTGCCTTGTACGTGTGAGACCCTGGATTCAATCCTCAGCACCACATAAAAATAAAAATAAAGATAAAGATATTGTGCCCATCTATAGCTTAAAAAATATTTTTAAAAAAAGCAGTGGCAGCAGCGAATGAATGAAAACAAAATGCTATGACTCAAAACTCTGAGGAAGTCTTCCCTTCCATTCAGAGAAAGTATGACTCCAAAAGAGCAGAGACAAACTCTGGTGCCATTCTCCCCATCCCCCATTTTCCCATTGCTGGAGACAATTGTGGAAGTGAGTAGGTTCTTGACAGTGCAAATGAAAGTAGGATTGTAGCCAGATGGGGAACTCCGGGGAATCAAAAGTACTGGAAAGACAGAAGAAAGTGAGGGGACCAAGCAAGTAACCTCATAAAATTGAACTCACCCATGACCTGCACATTATTGATCTAATTCTAATTAGCAGAACAAAGACTTTGAGAACTGTACTAACAGATTTCTGTTCAGGTCCCAAACTGGATATGCCCACATGAAAAGTGTTATCTAGTTTGGAACAGTCTGTAGAAGGACCTGCAACCTTTACCTTACCTAACAAAATTACTTGCAAGAAGTACAAGTATCAACATTTTACATGACATTTATACAAGAATCAGTCTTAGGATATTTAAAATGCTCAGGACAAAGTGCAAAATCACTAGGTATATATCACAAAAATCACATCTTGCATGGGAAAAGATAAGTCATCAAAAAAAGACAATACAGGAAATTAGAAAGTACATCAGCATTTCTAAGAACAACTGTTCTTTGAGGGATATTTATAGTACTAAATGCTCATTTTAGAAAAAAATCTTCCACCTTTTAAAAAATGAGACATTTAAATAATTCAATGAAATTAATTTTTCTATTTTATTTCATTTCAAAAAACTGGTTGAAACCCACTTATTTAACTGTTCATTAATGAGTTTTGAAACAAATGTTTGAAAACATTTTTTTTTTAAATAACCTAACTTCCAGAGGAAAATATTCTGAATTCCCTTGCTAATTCAGAAGTTGGTATTTGGGATTCAACCAATTGTAGAATTAAGGCTTCATTAAAGAATATAACAAAGAATAGTCAAAAAGAATACTTTATAGACTATTCTTTAATGACTATTAAAGAATAGTCAAATCTGTCCCACATTGTGAACTCTTCCTGACACTATCAAGCAAATACTACCTTCTATTTCTTATTCTCAAATATTTCTTCAAATTGCCAATACAGCATTTTTTCAAGGTACTGAGGTGAGTAGTATACTGTTAGTCTCTCTCAAAATTGAGATCCCTAAGGGTAGAGTGTGTCTTGTTCTTTGTTTCTAACCCTACATTTACTTTGATAGTATTGATACTACTGAAATTCTAAATTTTATTTACTAATAAGCAATAAAATCATTATATGTAAGAATAATCTTTTTTTTAAAGAGAGAGAGAATTTTTTAATATTTATTTTTTAGTTATCGGCGGACAAAACATCTTTGTATGTGGTGCTGAGGATTGAACCCGGGCCACACGCATGCCAGGCGAGCGCGCTACCGCTTGAGCCACGTCCCCAACCCCTAATAATCTTTTATAATAGAAAAATGACCTTGTTTTATGTTTTTACAAATCTCTTGACTTAATAGAAAATACCTAGAACCTCAGAACGTCTACTTTCAATGTGTTGCAATATGGTATTTTTGTTTTGTTTTGTGGTACTGGGGACTGAACTCGGGGTCACTTCATCACTAAGCTGCATCCCCAGCCCTTTTTTATTGAAATAGGTTCTCATTAAATCGCGCAGACTGGCCTCAAACTTGTGATCCTGCTGCCTCAGCAACCTGATTAACTGGGATTACAAAGCATGCATCACCACATCCAGTATAATATAGTGTTTTGACTGAAGTATGTGAATAAAATCTAAACTCACATAGCTATCTAGACAGTTGGTGAGGGAGGATCTTACCCTTTCCAGAAAATTGTGAATGATAGTGTGAATGATAACAATGATAATGTTATTGGGCAAATAGTTTTGAACTAGCAGATCCCTTCTACAACCCACGCTTTGAGAACTGTTGGTACAATGAAAATAGAAGGGTAGGGCTATAGCTCAGCGGTAGACTGCTTCGCTATCATGAACAAGACCCTGGATTCAATTCCCAGTCCCATAAAAACCAAAACAAAAAAATAAAATGAAAGAAGTGTGCTGCCAGGTTTATGTATCTACTTGCCCATTAGATGGCCCTCATTAGGATGATCAGAGCCTAAAATAATCATACATTTAAATTATGGAGATTCCTTAGCTGATTCAAAGCTCACTACACAATCTTTTGATCAAAAGATTGCACAGTTTAAACTCAGGCAAAAGATGCGAAGTGGCTACCCTGATGCAACCTTTTGGTCTGCTTCAGAGTTTTATTTCTCAATGTAAATTAATAAACTGCCATTATTCTTTTCATTAAACAGTCTCTAATGAGCTTTGTTGAGTCAGCAGCCCTGAATCTAGTCAATTTGGGGACATTGATGGTAGTTTCTGAGACTCAATCTTTTTTTTTTTTTTTTTTTTTTAAGAGAGAGTGAGGGGGGGGGAGAGAGAGAGAGAGAGAGAGAGAGAATTTTTAATATTTATTTTTTAGTTCTCAGCGGACACAACATCTTTGTATGTGGTGCTGAGGATCGAACCCGGGCTGCACGCATGCCAGGTGAGCGCGCTACCGCTTGAGCCACATCCCCAGCCCTGAGACTCAATCTTATATGAATTTCTCTAAACACTTGTTTTTTTACAACACTGTTGAAATTAAATACTTAGGGAAGATACTTTATGCCAATTTCAAATATAAAAATCAGAGATTTTTGGAATCCTAAAAAAACTGACAAAAACATGTTAAAAACAACTCTCCTCGGGGCTGGGGTAGTGGCTCAGTGGTAGAGTGCTCGCCTAGCATGCAGAAGGCACTGGGTTCGATCCTTGGCACCACATAAAAACAAACTAATGTATCCACCTAAAGCTAAAGACACATAAATAAATAAATATTAAAAAAAAAAACACAACTCTCCTCAAATATGTTTCTCTATTTAAATATTCTTATTTCTTAAATTTATCTTGAGAAAAGGTGATTGATTATTCAACTGTATATAATTTCTTTAGTTATAGTTTGGTGCTCTGAACATTGAACAAGAATCCTTTATATGTTCCACTCCTACTCCCGTCTAACGTGTCTTCCTAAATTATAGAGGCCAGAAAACTATATAAACTATATTTCTCAGATTCCTTTGCAGTTAAGGTTTATACATCACTAAAACACCCAATCAGAATATAACAGTTCTTCCCAATCAGATGCAATAACCTGAGTCTTTCATTTGGAACTTCATCACATGGGAAGGGAAGAAGATGTGTTTTTATGGAAGGTAGCATGTACGCCACTAGCTTGGAGCTAGTAACCTAGGCTGTGGCTTCCTCATTATGCAATTTCCTGAGTCTGGCCCAGGCAGCAGCAATTAGATGGTCCAGGTCCCTAGTATGGTTTAGGGGTGTACTTCTAGAAGATGAAATAATTACTGGTTTAAAACTACCTTGAGTGTACTGTGTTGCTTGCAGTCAAGAACTGAACAATTCATATTTTAACAGTTAATGTTTCCTTTAGCATAATCATTTATCTGTTTTCTACAATTTCATTTGTTTTTCAATTGATTTTCTAAACTGAAGCAATATCCCTGGTATATAATTATATGCTATTAAAAAGCCAAACTACCATGGTATTGTTTTTAAATACATCTGTAATTTTATTATAAAAACATTCTTTTGGCATTAGTTGGTTACAGTGAAAGCAAGATACTGTGAGTGTAGCATAGCAGCTCTAATGTAACAGCTGTATTCCCCTGCTTACTGAACCAAAATTTAAGTTACCTCAAATCCATTACATACAAGTTATCTGCAGTCTTTACTAATACAAATCCTTTAGGGAAGAGTTGATGCTAAGGGATTAGAGTAAATGTTGGTAAGACTACAAAAGTGGTAGTTCCTTTATAGGACATTTTTTTCTCCCCCCTCCCCTCCAATTACTTTACTTTAAAAAGAATCAAATTTCTTAGAGCTAATTGAATAGCAGCAGCACCCAAAGAACATCACACTTAGTTCTTGTTAAAAAGCAATACCTGTGCAATGCATATTTAGGCCACAGGTAAGGGAATGATCGATCTAGTTTCAAATTCCTCATTAGAATCCCTTAAAAAAATAAAAGCATTCCATCAAGTTCTTCTGGATGGTGTTATTGCTGTACATTTGTTGGGAGGTCACTTTCTCTGCTGTGTTTGCTTTGAAGGGATCTTCCAATATATCTCCAATATTCTTTTCTTATAGTGTCCTTTTCTTTAGCTAGGATTTCACATAACTAAAAATAAAAAATAAAAATTTATTAAAGTAAATAAGCATTTGAAACAACACAATTTAACTCTGTTCATGGTCAAATGGATACACTGTAGAGTTACATACTATATACTATGTTCTCCATTGACAAAGATGTTGCCCTAAACCAGAAATAACCCCACATTGAATTCTGAATACCTATGTTGAAAAGGGGCATGAATATTACTGGTAATGGGTACAGCCAATTCTGAGATGCCTAAGAGAAAAATACTGAGTCACACCAGCTTACCTCTAATGCTTTATTAAGAATGTCCTCTTTGTTGTCACATTGGTTTTCTAGCATATCTTCATAGATATCCACAAGAAAGGCAATTAGGTAGGGGGAACTGTGACTTGGTTGTAAATCAAGTAATTGACTTAACAGGTTAGGATATTTGGAAAGACCACGATCCTGCAAAATCCTGAAAGAAAATAATACTTGATTCTGAGAAGAACAAAAACAACAGAAAGATCAAAGAGAAACACAGCAAGAAAGAAGACTTACTTTGAATAAACGACGCTGAAACAAAATGAAAATTTTAAATTATGTGAGTTTTATCGTGGATAGTTAGAAGCTGAGTAAAATTAGTTTAAAAAAATAATAAAGTTCAGAGCGGCAGGTGGCAAGCCTTGTTCCCAGTGCCCACAGAGACATGGCTGCACCAAGAGAAGATGGTGGGCTGGAACAGCGCCACCACTGCCAGCATGTGGGGGAGCCCTTCATCAGCTACTGGATCTACTTCAACCACTAGAGGATGAGCAACCCCAACTTAACAGGCTGTGGGAACATGAATATGAGAAAGGTGTGGACCATCTGACAAATGCAACTGCTGTGTGTAGACAGCCACAGCAGTTGCTAAGTGTTACAGCAAACTCTTCCACCAGCAGTGTTCCAGATGCTTCTGACTAAGTTCCCAACAATTAAGAGAATTTTAAGTGCTCAGAGCTTGGCTGAAGATGATGTGGAATGAGAAACAAATCTCATCATAATAAAATCTGTTAAGATTTTTAAAATTCATAACTTGAAAGTTGAGCAGCTCTGGGTAAATAAAGGCAAATGTGCTTGTTATAGATTGTCCCACAATTAAGACTACCAATGTTAATGTTTGTTTTGTGTAGATCCATTTATTTGTTTTACTTATTTTTTCCCAGTGAAAAGTGCATTTTGACAGAGCTTTTCATTTTATATACACTAAGAGTTACCAAAATATCACAGATTTCATTTATTCCTAAGATATGTAGTTAAAGTGTATGCAAGACATAATGTTTCTTGGGCTAATAACACCCAGTTCTCAGTTTAAAATGATAGGCAAAAAAGTGTGGGAGACAGCACATGTTTTAAGTTAGTACATTTTACAATAAATCAGGAAATTTTATAGAAACTATTATTTGCGAAAACAGCATTAAAATCTTCAAGAGATCAAAAAAAAAGTTTAAAAGTAATCATGTATAATGTGAATATGCACCATATTAAATTAAAGCAGAAAATAAATCATCTTTTAAGTGAAGAGAGATGAAGGAGAAATGTCCCTGTGTCTTCTTGAGATGGTTCCTCATCTCTTTAACTCCTCAGGGACTATAGGTCCCAACTCCCAACATATCTCTAAATGTGTCTGGATTCCAAACTGTGCTCTTTGGGACCAGTTTCCTTAAAGGCCTTAAATTCAACAGTAAGCCTGGCTATGTCAGTGTCAGACAAGTGAAATGTTTCTGTTAAGATTTATAATTGGAAGCCTTTAGCAACTAAAGCAGAAATGCTGGCCACCCATCTGTGTAATCTGTAAAAAGTCCTCTGTGCTTTATTGTAATCCTGAGCTGGGCAGAACCTAAGTGTCTGTATTCTAATTTTTCACAAAAACCCTAGAGGATTCATAAATATAATTTAATATGCATTACTTTCCAGGCATGGTGGTATACATCTGTAATCCCAGATACCTGGGTGGCTGAGGCAGGAGAATCACAAGTTCCAGGCCAGCCTCAACAAGTCAGCAAGGACCTAAGCAACTTAGGGAGATCCTGTCTCAAAATAAAAAGGACCGAGGATGTGGCTCAGTGGTTAAGCATCCTGGGTTCAATTGCCAGTATCAAAAAAAAAAAAAAAAAAAATTGGTATGTGCTTAGGAGGTGAAGAGAAGAAATGTAGAGGGCACAGTTCTTGGGAATTGCCAAAATTGCCATTATGCTTCTGCTCTTAGATTCAAAAAAAGAAAAATTCTTTAGTTTCCTTTTAAATAAAATCTAATTAGAAGAGCTGGATGTGGTGGTGCATGACTATAATTCCAGCAGCTCAGGAGGTTGAGGCAGGAGGATCACAAGTTCAAAGCCAGTCTCAGCAACTTAATAAAGCTCTAAGCAACTTAGCAAGACCCAATCTCAAAATAAAATTTTTTTAAAAGGGGTGGGGATATGGCTCAGTGGTTAAGAGCCCCTGGGTTCAATCCCCAGTACCAAAAAAAATAAGAAAATCTAATTAGGTATATATTCCATGATATATATATATTAGCAGCTTTTATGTGTGTGTGTGTGTGTGTGTGTGTGTGTGTGTGTGTGTGTGTGTGTGTGGTGTATCTCCAGCAAAAAATACCTTCTTACCCTTTCAAATAGTTCCATGCACTTTCATTATGTGGTACAAGTTTGATCATTTCCAGAGTGTATCTGTAAGAAAAGAACCCACAAATGAGTGTGTAATTTTAAAAGAGCAGTGCTTATTGCAGATACAATTTGAACAAATGTGGCAAAACCTAGGAAAGTGTTTTTGCTGTGTCAGACTCCACATACATCTCTTTCAGCTGGCCTTGCCACCACTCTAGCTCATATCTAAATTAGAGAACCCCCAAAACTGCAATTGTCCACTCAAGATAGTTCCTCCCTCCCATATTTCTTGTCTAATTCGGAGGAATAACACTTAACTGACATAAAGCTTTAATTCACATCAAGAAAGAAAATAAATATGAAAGATATTTTTTTCTGTTTGAAGGAAAGGTGGAGACTTTCTTTTTAATGGTAAAACAATCCAGGAAAAAAAGTCAAACATCTATTTATGCCTGTTAAGTCCTCAGTCACTGAAAAAGGGTAATTAACATAATCTTAGGAGCTACAATTAAAAGTAGGGTGGAAATAATACAAAGAATAAAAATTAAACAACATGTACATATTCCTTACCTTTCAAAATAAAATTACTATTAAACTATAATGTGATTTCACAGTCAAAATGGATACTCCCTACTCCTTTCTCTTCTCTTTACCCTGATTATTAAATACAATTCAGATGCAACTGTCACAAATTCTAAGGAATCTACAGAACTATGCTTCACATGAGCAAAGAACTGACTAAAGCTTAGTGATCTTGTTCTTGCTTTGGGGCTATTACAATAGGAATTTTTTCACAGGAGTAACAAACTCATTTAACATTATGAAAAGATTTTTCTAACCACCCTGACATGACCTAACCTTTTCAGTTATTTGGAATATTATGTCTGTGTAGGTCTTAGCTGGTCCTAGTAGAAGATTCTTAATTTCACTTTGGCAATGTACACTAATGTGTCATCTATTTTAATGGTGAAAACATGAACTTTGAGGTCAGACTACCTACCTATAAATCCTACTTACAGAATTACTTGAAAACTCAAGTTCTTCATGAGTATCTCTGAGTCTTGTTATGAGAATTAAATAGGAATTTATGGCGTACAGTAAATGTTAGATAAATCCTATAATTATCAGGTGAGCATCCTTAATCTGAAAACCCAAAATCCAAAATGCTCCAAAATCTGAAAATTTTTGAGTTTTGACATGATACCACATAGTCAAAATACAGGTGCACTAAAAATATGTATAATATTATAGTCAGGCTATGTGTATAAGACACATATGAAACATAAATTAATTCTGTGTTTAGATTTGAGTTCTATCTCCCAAATATCTGATCATATCTATATCTATCTATCTATCCATCTATCTATCTATATGTAAACATTCGAAAAATCTGAAATGTTTCTGGTCCCAAATATTCTGCATAAAAAATACCTAACCTATGGTACTAGTAGACCATTATTCACATGGAAACAATGGCCACGATACATTTAGTGAAAAAAATCAATGCCTATATGTCACTGTCTAGGTTGCAAATGTTATTTATAAATCCATGTATAAATGTATATAATTATAGCTCATTCTAGAGAGTGGCAGGAAGGAGGAAAAAGAATAAGAGATTTTGATTTTAATTTTTTATAGTTTTATATAATTCAGTATATTTTTCCCCTGATAACTATACTGCATAGGAAAAAAAATGAATGGAAAAAAACTGAGGAACACAATCAGGTACACCTATCTATAAAGTTAAAAATATGCTTAATAAACTATAAATTCTAGAAGTATGGCTACTATCAATATTTAAAATATTTGTTCTACACATCCTGAGGGAAAAACAAACTTTAAATATACAAAGTTCTTACATTCTTGACTGATTATTTCTGTTTCTATCTAATAACAGATGACTAGTGATCTGCCTCTAAAGGCTAAAAGACTTGCATTTTCCAAACTTCATTTTAATTTTTTTTTTGTACTGGGGACTGAACCCTAGGGCACTGAACCCAGGGACACTTTACCAATGAGCTATATCCCCAGTCCTTTTTAATTTTGAGTCATGGTCTCACTAAGTTGCTTAGGACCTCACTAAATTGCTAAGGTTGTCCTTGAACTTACAATCCTTCTGCCTCAACCTCTCTGTAATCACTGGGATTACAGAAGTGAGCCAGTCACATTCAATTTTTAATGAAGTTGGGGCTGGGGTTGTGGCTCAGTGGTAGAGGGCTCGCACAGCACATGCGAGGCCCTGGGTTCGATCCTCAGCACCACATAAAAATAAATGAATAAAGATATTGTGTCCAACTAAAAAAAATAAAAATTAAAAAAAAATTTTATGAAGTAATGAAGTAAGACATAACAAATTAGGAATATACAATATTTTAAATCCATTCTCAATTGGATCAATTCAAGATAAAATAACCTGAAGCATTCTATTTTTTGGCAAGAAATCCAATGCAAAGAGAAATACATGGAACAGCCAGGTGCAGTGGCACATGCTTATAATCCCAGCTTGGGAGGCTAAGGCAGGAGAATTACAAATTCAAAGTCAGCCTCAGCAATTTGGTGAGGCTCTAAGCAACTCAGCAAGATTCTGTCTCTAAATTAAAATATTAAAAAAGACTGGAGAATACAAAGGGGAATAGAGAGTGCTAAATGACAAAGTATAAATTATCTCTACTTAAACTCCACTATTTTAGGTTGGTTTAATAAAATCATTTCAGTAAATTCCAGAAGAACTTGCTTTGATGCTGGAAATGTTCTTTATCTATGTTGTCAAGTACAGTAGTCACTAGCTACATGTGGTACCTGAAATAATGTGACTACTGCAACTGAGGAACTATTTTTTTGTTGTGTGTTTTTTTTTATGTGTGTGTATGTGCCAAGGATTGAACTCAGGGGCACTTAAACACTGAGGCACATCCCCAGCCCTTTTTTGTATCTTATTTAGAGACAGGGTCTCATTGAGTTTATTAGGGCCTCACTAAGTTGCTGAGACTGGCTTTGAACTCACAATCCTCCTGCCTCAACCTCCTGAGCCACTGGAATTTCAGGTGTGCACTACCATGCCAGGCGAGGAAGTATATTTAAAATTTTGTGGTATTGTAGTTAATTTAAATTTAAATAGCTATATGTTACTAGTAGTTACATACTGGACAGTGCAGCTTCAGATGGAAGAGAGGTAGGTCTGAAAGCCTGGAGCAGAGAGGGAATGGAGGATACTGGACTAAAGCCTTAAAAAAAAAAAATCATATATATATATATATGGGCTAGGGACTAGGGATATAGTTCAGTGGTAAAGAATATATGATGCCTTAGGTTTTATCTTCAACACTAAAAAGAAAAAAAATATATGCCACTGAAACCCTTATATAGAAAAGATAAGAGAGGAGTTAGCTGCCTTAAACTGAGAAAAAAAAAATGGGTCAAGGGAGATTACAGGCAGATGTGCTATAAATCTGCTCTTCCCAACAATAATTAAAAGAACTTTTGTAATTAAAATTTTACTATGAGCTCATCAAGCTTTAAAAACAATATCCACATTCAGGGGCTGGGATTGTGCTCAGTAGCAGAGCACTTGCCTCACACATGTGAGGCACTGGGTTGAATACTCAGCATCACATAAAATTAAACAAACAAAATAAAGATATTGTGTCCATGTATAACTAAAACAATTTTTTTTAAAAAAAATCCACATTCAGATTGTCAAATAGAGGGAGACAAAATGGCAAATTAGACCAGAAAAAAATGGCTATTGCTATTTATACACATAATACTCAAATTCAGGACAATTCAGAAATTTCTAGTTCTTATAATAGCTTTTTGTATAGAAGCTCCCAAATGAGGATGAATTTTTGCTCCAAAAAGGACACTGGGCAATGTCTAGAGAAATTTTTGTTGAAAGCCAGGAGTGCTACGAAATATCCCACAGTATAAAAGATAACCAAGACTGAACTGGTCTAGAACCCTATAATACAGTAACATGGCATCTGGAAATTATTATCAAAAATGCAACAGATTTAATGATATAGTTGTAAAATAAAGTTTCCTGGACACTATAAAATCTGATTTATTTCCAATCTTTAGTAGCAACAATATTTCAAAAACCTTCAGACACTAAACATAGAAGCTTACTACATTATTTGTAAATTTATCACTATATGTTTCATCTTTCTATTCTGTCCAATTTTAGTTCCATGATTAAAGGATCTGGGGCAGTCTTGGTCTTTGATTTATTCCCAATGCCTGAAACATAGTAGGCATGCAGATTTTTAATGAATGAGCAAGTAAAAGACATTACTTACTGGACTTCTCTTTCCAATACAGCACGATCACTGTAGCCAGTGGTATTAGAAATGACAAAGTATCTTTGGTTCCAGACAGAGTTATTTCTCACATCTTCTTTTAGAAGTTGGTCTACATACTGCAGCTCATTATCCCAAAGTTTAAATTCCTAAAAGAAAGTTGTTTAAAAACACAATTAGAAATGTCCCATTATTTGTAAATATTAAAAACAAAATATCACGCAGGGTATGCTGATACACACCTGTAATTCCAGCTATGGGAGAGGCTGAGGTAGGAATATCACAAGTTCAAGGCAAGCCTGAACAACATACAAGACCTTCCCACCACCAAAAAAATAAGTAAAAATAAAACATGAGTAAAGCTAAAAAGGTAGAACTGAAGAAAAAGGATTTACCACATATGTAGAGAGAGGGAACAGTCACAGGTCAAGGAAACAGAGGGGAATAAAAAAACTGGGGCTGGGGTTGTGGCTCAGTGGTAGAGACTTGCCTAGCAAGTGTGAGGCACTGGGTTCGATTCTCAGCACCACATATAAATAAATAAAATAAAGGTCCATCAACAACTAATAAATATATTTAAAAAAAAGAACTAAATTGGAGATAGATCCTAGGAAAAAAATATACAAAAAGCCAAGATAAAAGTCACCAAAGAAAAATTAGAGGGGAAAATAAAAACAAACTCAATTAGTAAGAGAATGAGTAATTAATTATACATAGCATTATACATAGTATATGAATTTGATTTGATATTACAATAAGCAAAAGAACAGCATTAAAAATGTACATGTGATAAATTACCTTTAAAATACATGTAGAGAAATATATACAATTTAGTTGGGCATGGTGGCACACACCTATAATCCCAGCAGCTCAGGAGGCTGAAGCAGAAGAATCACAAGTTCAAAGCCAGCCCTAGCAACTTACTTATCGAGGACCTAAGTAACTTATCGAGACCCTGTCTCAAATAAAAAATAAAAAAAGGGCTGAGGATATGGTTCAGAGGTTAAGGGCCCCTGGGTCAATCTCTGGTACCAAAAAAAACAGAGAGAGAGAGAAAGAGAAAGAAATATCTAAGATTGGATTTACAAACAAATTTTTACATTAAAAAACTGGGTTTTTTGTTTTAAGTATTTTCTAAGTATTTCTTTCTTGTTGGATAGACCCCAGGGGTGCTTAACCACTGAATCACATCCCCAGATCTTTTTTATTTTGAAAAAGGGTTTCACCGGGCTGGGGTTGTGACTCAGCAGTACAGCACTTGCCTAACATGTGAGAGGCCCTGGGTTTGATCCTCAGCACCACATAAAAATAAATAAATAAAATAAAGATATTGTGTCCAACTAAAAAATAAATATTAAAAAAGAAAGAAAGAAAGAAAAAGGGTCTCATCAAGTTGCTTAGGCTGGCTTTGATCTTGCCACCTCTTGCCTCAGCCTCCCGAGCTGCTAGGATGACAGGCATGAATCACCATTCCTGGCATAATGCTGCTTTAATAGAAAAAAATTATAGGGAAAACTGTTAAAACTTACAAATGTTACAGAAGTGGGCACATTATGAAAAAGTGGAGTTATATTTCTTATTGATAACAGAAAAAGGATGAATTTCAGTATGATGGTCCCTGTTTTACCAAGTGATAATAAAAATAATTAAGAAAGAGTCCTGTGTACCCTTCATTTAGATTCTCTAAAGGCATTATCTTACCAACTAAAATTTAACGCCAAAACAATAAAATGATATGGTGTATTATTTTTCACAAAAACACAGACTTTATTCAGATTTTATGTTTTCTCATTTGTGTATATACAGTGAAGGCCAGGGTGTTAGTAGAGGTAGAATACAGTTCTTTGCAATTTTACCCCATGTGTAGCACAAGCAACACTACAATCAAGATACAGAATTATTCCCTCACCACATAGAAAGTGTCCTATACCATCTCTTTATAGTTGTATCTCACTTTTGCCTAATCACTCCTAACCACTGATTTGTTTTCTCTACATCTTCAGTTATTTCAAGAATATTATCTTGTAGCTGAGCACAGTGGCATACGCCTGTAATCCCAGCAGTTTGGGAGGCTAAAGCAGGAAGATCTCAAGTTCCAAGCCAGCCTTAGCAATGGCAAGGCGCTAAGCAACTGTCTCTAAATCAAATACAAAATAGGGCTGGGGATCTGGCTTAGTGGTTGAATGCCTCTGAATTTAATCTCTGGTACGCTCCCCCACCCCCCAAAAGAACATTATCTTATAGATTCTCTTCAGTTTTCAGAATTTCATTATTGGTAAAATTAATCTTATCTTTAAAAAGTATTGTGAAAACATGTGAAACCATAATATACCAAATGTAAAAGCAAGACAGAAAATTATACGTACTTTATTTATAAAAATGTATAAGCAACAGGGGCTGGGGTTGTAGCTCAACAGTAGAGCGCTTGCCTAGCATGTACAAGGCGCTGGGTTCGATCCTCAGCCCCACATAAAAATAAATAAAATAAAGGTATTGTGTCCAATGATTAAAAAAATCATTAAAAAAAAAATGTACAGGGGCTGCGGCTATAGCTCAGTGGTAAAGCGCTTCCCTCACATGTGTGAGGCCCTAGGTTCAATCCTCAGCACCACATAAAAATAAATAGATACTGTGTGTTCATATACAGCTTAAAAAAAAATGCACAAGTAACAATTGAAGGATATTTTGGAGTCTTTCTCATGGAAATCTTTCATAATTTCAGTAAGAAACACACTGGCTAATGTGGCTTTTCAAAGATATTGATAATATTCTACTTCTCAGGTTGTTATGGTAGTAGATAGGGTATGTGTATAACATGCACTTTTATATGATTAAAAATTTCAATAAAAATCTTATAAAATATATAATTAATTAAATTTGAAGTTAAAAATTCTCAGTAAAAAATATTTAGTGAAATGCTCTGGTTATAATGAATAGAACATGAAATAGCAATCCCTGGAAAAAATTTATAGGAAACAATAAAATTGTTTGCTAAAATAAATACAATGTCTAGTGTGAAAGTTGTAACTATTTTATTTAGAATTTAGCATAAATTTAACAGAGGGGTAGATATACAATAAGTAACAGTTATGATAAGACCATATTCTGAATTTATATATGCAAAAACCTTAATACATGCTCTTGATATATTAACATTTTACTAATTTTGATGCTCAATTTGCTAACAAATATAAGAGATAATGAGAATTCAATCTGAAATGTGTTAAATGTTTATCAGTTTACTATTATTATTCTTTAATATGAACCTATTCACTAACCAACTCAGAGATTATAAAGATTAACCACCATGAAGAATGTCACATTTTAATTATTTTAACAGTTCTTTATTATGTTGTGTGTAATGATCTACATGTGTGCTTTAGCTTGGAAATTTAATTAGCCTCTAATACTAATTTTAATTATTTAAGTTAAAAAATAAAATTCTGAAAAATACTATAAAAAGAAAGGTAATACCTGAATGACCCATTGTCGATGCTGCCAGGCATGATAATTCTTTGCATCCTGGTTAAGAATATCAGCAATAAATTCAAGCTCCTGAGATGGATCTTTTAGCCATTCTACTAAAACTCGCCTATGGTGCCTGAAACCCAGAGAAGGGAGAGAAATTTTGTGTTAATTTACTCAAGCTAACAAATCATCTACATGGGTTATACTAGGTGATGTGGAAACACACTCAAGAAACAAATATTCATATCTAATTAAAGACACTACTAGAGAGAAAATCTAACATAAAAGAAATGAGAAAATTTTCAGAACACTAAGCAAGGGTTGAGAAATATAAAACAGTAATTTGTGTGTAAACTTAGATACATAGGGCTTAAAGATGGAAGTAAACCTGGAAGTATAGTTATCTTTTGACAATCACAAAATTCTGTTTTTAGAATTTAGAAACAAGCCAGGTGCAGTGGTACATGCCTGTAATGGGCTCCAAAGTCTGAGGCTGGAGAATCTCGAGTTCAAAGCCAGCCTCAACAAAAGCAAAGTGCTAAGCAACCCTGTCTCTAAACAAAATACAAAATAGGGCTTGGGATGCTCCTGAGTTCAATCCTCGGTATCAAAAAAAAAAAAAAAAAAAAAAAGACATTACAAGAGGGCTGGGGTTGTGGCTCAGCAGTAGAGCACTCGCCTAGCATGAGTAAGGCCATGGGTTCGATCCTCAGCACCACGTAAAAATAAAGGTATTGTACCCAACTACAACTAAAAATAAACAAAGAAACAAAAAAGACATTACAGATGAGACTAGAAGAAATTTGATACTATTTTATGAAATATAATTTTAAATAGTTTATCAGTTTTCCCTAAATTCAAAATGCCACCATTTAAGCAACTTTTCACTCCACCAGTTAGTACAATGAAATTCAATTCTACCCTGGGGAATAAATAGCTACAAATTGCAAGTCTGTCAAAACAGGAGTTTCTATACTAGGATAAGACTAAGAGTTTTATATTAGGTTCCATTTTTATAATTTCCTTAAGCTAAAACAGTTACACAAATCTATAAGTGAAAATTTCTAAAATTTACTCTGAGGACTAGAAGTATAGCTCAGTGGTAGAGTCTAACCTGTGAGGCCTTGGGTTCAATCCCTCGTACAAAAAAAAAAAAAAAATCACTGTGGCAATGGCTGCCACGTCTGCAAACATATAACATACTCCTTTTTTTTTTTGGGAGGGGGGGGGATGCGGGTACCAGGGATTGAACTCAGGAGCATTCAACCACTGAACCACATCCCCAGCACTATTTTGTATTTTATTTAGAGACAGGGTCTCACTGAGTTGCTTAACGCCTCAATTTTGCTGAGGCTGGCTTTGAACTCGTGATCCCCCTGCCTCAGCTTCCCAAACTGCGGGGATTACAGGTGTGCGCCACCACACCCAGCTGAATTACATACTCTTTTTTTTTTTCTAATATTTTTTCAGTTAAAGATGGACACACAATATTTTTGTTTATTATTTATTTGTTATGTGGTGCTGAAGTCTAGTGCCTCACACGTGTTAAGCAAACACTCTGCCATGAGCTACAGTCCCAGCCCCTGAATTACATACTCTTTAAATGAATGAACATATGATATGTGAACTACATCTCAAAATTGATTTTTAAAACAATCTACTGTATTCACTATATTAATGTGAACAGGAGTTACAGAAAAAAAGGGAAGACATTAGTGCTTAATTGGTGACCTACTCTAAATACACTGAAAATTTTAAAATTTATCTTATAGAATATTAAGAAGGCAAGATAATCAAGGAGAAAATCCTCTTAAAGAGAAAGATTACTGAACTTATTTTAGAAATCTTTCAAGTCAGTGAACACTAGAAAGCGTTTTACTTTTCAGGTTCCTGGTGAATTCTATAATTTAAGAAAAAGTTAAGAATTAGATCCTTCAGTATATCAAAGTGACTGCTCAGAACAAAATATCAAGATGTTCTCTCTGATATTCAAGATTTAACGACTATTAAACACAGGGAATTAGTTTATAGTATAATATCTCACAGTGGTATTTAATAAAAAGTTATCAACTTATTACTTCACTATACTAGTTATAATGGAAACAAGCAGAGTGGGCAATTTAAAATGTATCAAAACTAAGCTCCGTGCAGTGGCACATGCCTGTAATTATTGTTACTTGGGAGGCTGATGCAGGAGGAATACAAATTCAAGGCCAGCCTCAGCAATTTATCAAGGCCCTAAGCAACTTAGCAAGACCCTGTCTCATGAAAAAATAAAAAGAGCTGCGGATATGGCTCAGCGCGCCTGGGTTCAATCCCCAGTACAAAAACAAAACAACAACAAAAAAAATTAAAACATTATTGAGTTTTCAATAGCAATTAGTTGCTTTAGGTGGGTCAGTATTCTGCTTTTCAGAAAAAATGGTTATTAAGGTGTTAATGGCAGTGTTTGCAGTACCCAGGAAAAGAAAAGTTTTGTTATTTTTTTCTTTTTAGCCAAAAACTAAATTATATTGAGAATGCCTGATATCTGAATTTTATAGCAACACTTTTTTTTATATAAAACACCTTAACATAAAACAAAACCGAAAGGTACATTAATTCTCTAGCTAAACTCTTTTTTCTCAATAAAACAATTATTTTATAATGCAACTCCTAGGAATGCAAAAATCTAGTTAAAAAAAAAAGCTTCAGAGGTCAATTTGTTTACAAATAGAAATCTGTATAATACTGAGTTATTTGCTGTTGGGTCTATTATGTTCTAATTCTTTGAAAATTAATCAGCTATATACATGTTAAATACTGATTCGTGTTAATATTTGGGCAGAATATTCCTCAGCTGGCCACAAAACACATGGAATTATACAAAGTTCCATGAATAAGCTGCTTTCCCATACTTCTACTAAGAATATTTTCCTTGCCTCAGAGGTTTTTCTTCAGAAGTCTTCCTTAAATCTTGACATAAGGATAGTGTGGTGTGTGTGTGTGTAGGACATTATGCTGAGAGAAGATAAAATGGTGGCAACTTCATTTTGGAGTTGAGAAGACAGGTATACTAAGCAGGCAGTTCGTGGCACAGAAAGTGGAAAGAGCTTAGGCTGGAGTTGTGTCTCAGTGATAGAGAGTTTGACTAGCATGTGTGAGGCACTGGGTTTAATTCTCAGCACTATATATAAATAAACAAAACAAAGGTCCATCCACAAGAAAGTGGAAAGAGCTCTTGGTAGTATGCCATGCTGCCTCTTCTACTTCAGCATAATTTCTTTACTGCCACACCACAATCATAACAGCAGTAGCAATAGCTACCATTCATAGGCTTCACACTAGAGACTGGGCACCATTCAAATTATCTTTCTTATTTATTCTTTGTGTACGTGCTCCATGACTCCTCCCTTTTCCCCTATTGTGTTCCACTACTCCCATCCTAACAATCTCCATACTCTTATCTTTGTATATGCTGAAAAATTCTACCATTATATTTTTTGCATTGCTTTATAAAGTAACTGATATTATTATTTGCTTTCCCTATTAGACTGTGTCTTGGTCATCTTTGTATACTCAGCACTAGTACAAAGCCTTTGTATACTCAGCACTAATACAAAGCCTGTGAATAAACAAATGAATAAAAGATTAAATATTACAAAGTCATTTTATAATACACCAAACAGAAAGCTTTTTTCTTCAGTACTGAGGATTGAATCCAGGGCCTTGCGCATGCTCAGCAAGCTTTCCACCACTGAGCTATATCCAGAATTCTAGAAAACATTTTTCAGATATTTTTACTCACATTTTTTCTCATTAGCAGCAACTGCACAGTGATTCTGAAATTTCAAATAATAATAACAGCTAAACATTTGAATGTTAATTGTGGAGCAGACACCATTTGATCACTCAACATAGTTCTCATTTAATCCTTGTGTTAGCTTCTTTTCACTGTAAAAAAATACCTGAGAAAATCAACTCGAAGGGAAGATTTATTTTGGCTTATGGTTTCAGTAAATGGCCACCTGGCTCTGTTGATTGTGGGCCTCTAGTGAGGCAGAATATCATGGCAAAAGGGCACAGTAGAGCAAAACCAGCAAGGAGCTGGGGCAGGATGGGGACAAGATGTAGTCTCCAAGGGCACTTCCCATAGGACCTATTCCCCCAAGTAGGCCCCATCTCCCACAGTTTTCATCCCCTTCCAATAGTCCACTCACCTATGAATCCATCAGTGGCGATAGAGCCCTAATGATCTAATCACTTCCAAAAGCCCCACCTCTGAACTTTGAAGACCAAGTATTCAACACATGAGCCTTTTGGGAACATTCTAGATCAAAATCCAAACAATCCTCCTAACAATCCTGTGGGGCAGGTAACATTAGCCCCAATGTAAAGTTCTAAATTATAAAGAAGCTTAGGATGATATTCAGTGGTAGAACACTTGCCTAGCATGTACAAGGGCCTGGGGTTTGATCCCCAGGAGGGCAAAAAATAAGTAAATACAAGAAAAAAATCCTTTACTATATCATCATCTACTGGCAGAAACTATGCAGAATAACATTTCTATCTTACCAAACTTGATAGTTTTTGGGCTGTTCCTCAATTATTGCAGTGATGTAGTTCATTTCCTCATGTAGATCCTTTTGAAGTGACTTTAAGAGAACTCTCCGAAAATGCCTACAGCAAACATCAAGCATAGAAAGTCTCATTACTCCAATTAAGTTGCCTATCAACAGTATGAAATAAAGCTAAAAGAACAATACGGTTAAGACAAATTTTTGTCAGTTATTTTATATAACAAATAATTTTTAATTTAAGTGCACAAATTGTCAATATTCATACAACTATCTGGTAACTGGATGAATCAAGCATTTAAAGTAAAAAAGAGTAAAAGGCAATAAATATGATAGAAAAAAAGTAGATTTTGGAACCTTAAGGAATGAAAAGGCAACTAAATTCTATTTTCAGGTAATACTCTAATTACATGTGTTATATAATACAAAAAGCAAAGACATTTCTTTCCTTATATAGAAAAGTTAGCTCATGTAGGTTATATTAGTCATATAATAATTAATTCTATTATAAACATTATCAAATATTCTATTTCTAGAACCACCATCAAAATGTTTGTAATTAATTTCAGATTATTAAAAAAACTTAAAAGTGAAGCAAATATAATTTCTGAAATTAAAGAGAAAGTGGAGTCAAGTCATTTTTTTGAAATTCTCTATGGACAGTACTGGTCTAATCTTAGTAAACTAATTTTCAAAAATTTGCAACTCAATATATATTAAGAGACAAATAGTTCAGAACCTACTTTAAAAGTTATCTTTTAAAATGAAATGCAAAATATGAGATTACAGCATTTTTCTCTTACTATTATTAAAGAAAATTGACTTTTTTTTAAGAGAGAGAGAGAGAGAGAATTTTTTAATATTTTTTAGTTTTCAGTGAACACAACATCTTTATTTATTTATTTATTTTTAAATTTTTTATGTGGTTCTGAGGATCAAACCCAGCGCCCTGTGCATGCCAGGCAAGCGTGCTATCACTTGAGCCACATCCCCAGCCCGAGAAAATTGTCTTAATAGAGCATATAAATGCAAACACTTGGTTAATATGGGTAATGAACTCAGGTATAGTGCATTTAAAAAAACAGCAAATAAATTTCTTAGGAAAATTTAAGATGCCATATAGTCAGTAATTTCTTAAAATTTAAGAAAGTACATATTAAAGCCATAAAATAATGGAATATCCTACTGAGGACTTCAGTTAAACATGGTAGACTAAATAGGTTTACTCTTATTCCCTAAATAAAACCCCACTAAAATGATATTAAAGCAATACAGAAGATATAAATCCACAGGAGAAATGGTGCAAAGGGTTACCACAGCAAGTATAAGAGGTAAAGAAAATTATAGAAAATGTAAGCAAACAGACAAGTTTTTAACTGACTTAGAAAAGCAATGTAGGCCAGGCACAGTGGTACATGCCTATAATTCTGGCTACTTCAGAGGCTTAGGCAGGAGGGTCACAAGTTCAAGTCTAATCCAGGCAACTTAAAGAAAATCACAAAATAAAATAAAAATGGCTGGGGATGTTGTTCAGTGCTAAGCACACAGGAAACTCTGGATTTATGCCAAGTACTGAGGAGCAGGTGGGGGCAGGAGGAATCATATAAACCTGTCAACAGTAGTGGAAACCTTAATAAAGTTTCAAAAATTGAAGGTACTAGTTTTTTTCCCAAACTGGAAGTCAAGAGTGGGGCTGAAAAATAGAGCAAGGTCTAGAGAAACATTCTTAGCAGCCACAATCCTTCCCTTCACCTTGATCAGAAAGGTGACATCTCCTGACCTGAGCAGGAAACAATTTTAATTTTCTAGAAAAACCTAAAGCAGAAAGTGATAGTAGGTACATTCAAAGAAGGGTGAGGTAAAGAATGGAAATAAATACATTTAAAATATTAATATACAAAACTGAAAAAAATTAAAACAAGATAAAATAAAGAATAGATAAGGGCTGGGGCTGTAGCTCGGCGGTAGAGCGCTTGCCTAGCATGTAAGAGGCACTGGGTTCGATCCTCAGCACCACATAAAAATAAACAAATAAAATAAAGGCATTCTGTCCATCTACAACTTCAAAAAAAATTTTTAAAAAAAGAATAGATTAAAAAAAAAATGTTGAAATTGTCTAATAGACTGATTTCCCCCCCCCCAAAAAAAAAGAAGAAAAAGGAAAACAAAGTTGATACACTAAACAGTGAAACTTTCCTAACATATTTCCCTGCCTGATCCCCCAGAATTGTGGCAGGCAAATATTTTTCTTAGACAATAAATCAGATGGATCCTCTTTGGAGAAACACACTAAGAAAAAGACTTAAAAAAATATTGAGCCTGGCACGGTGACACATGCCTGTAATCCCAGGAGCTTGGGAGGCTGAAGCCAGGAAAATCTTGAGTTCAAAGCTAGCCTCAGCAACTCAGCAAGACCTGTCTCTAAATAAAATACAAAAAGGGCTGAGGATGTGATTCAGTGGTTGAGTGCCCCTGAGTTCAATCCTTGGTACAAAAAAAAAAAAAATACTGATATACAAAAGTTTCAAAACAGCCACATCCCCATCTCGGTAACTTTATAACTGATAAATCATGCCACACAAAGGGGTTCCAATCAGGCTTTTTCCTTTCTCCATTATGAGTATAAAAGGAGAACCAAAAATTACCAATCATTTATAGAAAAACCTTTTATGAAAGAGACTAAAACAACAGACAGAAAGACATTTCATTCATGGAATCAAAAAGCAAGATGATGTCTTTTCTTAAATATTAAGGAAAAAAGCTCTGAGAAATTAAAAATGAGTGCAAAAATATTTAAAAATCAATAGAAGAGTTAGAAGATAAAACTGAGGGAATATCATAAAAGTAAATTTTTAAAAAAAGGAATAAAAATAAAGAAAATACAATCTAGGAGGTACAACATGCAACTAAAAGTCATTCCAAAGACAGAAAACAGAGAAGAAATTATTTAAAGAACATACAAAAATTCCTAGAACTTAAAAAAGAGAAAAAGGTTCAACTAAAGAAATGGGAATCTTCTCCACCTGAACCTCAGAGGCAAAAGAAATGGGAAAGCAGTTGTAAAATTCTTCTTAGGGAAAATGATTTTGAATGTAGAATTCTACTAATAAAGCTGAAGGAAGATTTTAAGATTTCTAATGTATAATCTCCAACACTGTTGTCCACACATCCATCCATAAGTTTTCTTCTAGTCAAGTATGCCTTCTACAATATGAGAAAGTAAAGCTAGCAATTTGGCTCAGTGATAGAGTGCTTACCCAGGAAGTGCTAAAGCCCTGGATTCAATTCCCAGCATCACAAAAAAAAAAAAAAAAAAAAAAAAAAACCCTCAAAACTTTGTTTTTAAAATGAGAAAGTAAGTCAAGGAAGAGAAAGATGTGGGATTTGGAAAATAGAAGACTACACAGATGAAAGAGCTAAAGACTCCATTTGTAGCACCCAAACAAATGAAGGGGGGGAAAATGGAATGCAAGGATTACCTGTTGTATTCAATAATAATAAAACATTTACATAAATTAGAATGTCTGGGGGATGAATTACTTATTGGTACAAAGAAAATCAGACCAAACAAAAAAGGCTATTTGTTAAGGGATATGTGAATATACTATGAAATGTGGTTCAGCATGAACTAGGAACTGATAACTAATTTGTGATGAAGGGAAGAAAGTAGTACATGAACACTCCATCTTCAAGGAACAAATAGATATCATCTAAAATGTTTTAAAATGTAAAAAATAAAAATAACAGCAAAGCATATTATCTAACATACAGAAATTAAGTAGAGAAATAACAAGTGGGCACAGTGGCATGAGCCTATAATCTCAGTTGCTCAGGAGACTGACACAGGAGAATCACAAGTTCAAGGCCAATCTGGGCAACATAGCAAGATCCTGTCTCCAAACAAAAGAAAAGCAAAACAAGAGCATAGGTGCTGCTTCTGGGGAATGGGACCCTGGTCGTGGGAAGAAATAGGGAAGAGATTTTTCTCCCTTCAACTTCTGACTTTACACCCATATGTGAATTATTATTTTGATAGAAACTAAAATTCAGTTAAATAAAGAAAAGTCATTTGAACTAAAACCTGAGAAATGTAAGCAGAAAATATCTCAAAGTTGTGTATTACTTACCACACCGTATAATTGGCGGCATTTAACTCAATAGCATCCTGGGTAAGCTTAAAAGCTCGTTCACTTCTTTCATCACGCTGTAGAACAGCTCGGAAATAATCATAAACATCTCTAACTGGAGATAGAACACACAATTGCATTCGGACTACCTTTCTTATTTAAAATTAACACTATAACATAAAAGCTGTTGTACTTACATAGAAAGACATTTTATTTGCATATGTAACATTTATATCAGTAAGTGAAATAGAATCAAATGACTGTGACTGCCACTCCAACAATACTGTGTCACAGTCAACACACAAGCTACACAGGTCTAACCATGCTTATTATTTATATGCACTTAAACGGGTTAATGCCAAACTACAAATCTCCTTAAGATTTTACGTAAAATTAAAAGTAGTATTCAAATACATTCACATAGCTGTTTTTCTTATTTTATTTTGATCAGATTCTTAACTGAAAAAATATATAGTAAAATGGCAGAAAACTCAAGAGTATAAAAGGTTCACATTAAATTTCCATTCTACTAAATTCCCAGTCCTCCTCTCCAGAAACCACTGTTAACTGATTGTAATATATCCTGCCAAATATATGCTAAGCATATACAATTGTATACTTCCATCCTTCAGTTTTTACAACAACGAGATCATAGCACACTCAACACTTTGGCCCTTGCTTTTTTCATGCATGTATTATTACAGATTGTATAAACTAGTATAAACTTCTATGGGAAATTATTTGGTAATATCTATTAAAAATCAAAACTTACATATTCAATGATTCAAGAAATTGAGTTCTAGAAAGTTTTTTCTTATAAATACTCTTATATGTGCAAAGTAGGACAGAAAATGCGGATAATCTAGGAACTCACGACCTGTGAGTAGCATTTACAGTAGAGAAGAGTCTCACAGAACTATGTCCTTGACCTGTGGTGTGTGTGCTAACTCTAGGAATTAATGTTAGAACTGAAGGAAATTGTAGGACATCTAGTTAGTGTCTACTGAGAATTAGAGAACTGCCTGGTGTGGAAAACCATTTGGTGTCAGACTATAACCATCATACTGAAAGTATCAGATAAGAATATGCACAATTATAACTCTTTATAAAGTATAAGATACACAAAGATTACCTGCTTCTAAACAGTATCTTTTGGGGGAGAAGAGGCAGCAGGGATAGAACCCAGGATCAAATACTAAGGCATATTCCCAAACCTTTTTATTTATTTATTTTAATTTTAAAACAGGGCCTTGCCAAGTTGCCTATGGTGGCTGCTCACTTGCAATCTTTCTGTCTCAGCCTCCTGAGTACTTAGGAGCACAGATGACTTTTAAACACTAACTTTAAAAAACTAAGTTTAATCCAGGCACACTGACACACGCCTATAATCCCAGCTACTGGGGAGACTGAGGCGGGGAATCACAAATTCAAAGCAAGGCTCAACAACTTAATAATACCCCATCTCACAACAAGAAAAAAAAGACGTAGCTCAGTGGTATAGATGCTTGCATAGCATGCGTGCAGCCATGGATCCAATCCCTAATAATTCAGAAAAAAAAGAAATTTTAAATTTATAATAAAATGATTATTATAACATAGAATCTTATAATATTATATATTATAATATTATAATATTATATGAATCTTATACTCATTAAGTTTTTTCTGTAGCTTTCATTTTATATTAAATATTCTTTTGCTGGACAATAATCCCAACCACTCAGGAAACTGAGGCAAGTGGAGGCCAGCCTCAGCAATTTAGCAAGACTGTCTTAAATAAAAAAATAAAAAGAACCATGGATGTAGCTTAGTGGTGAAGCATTTCAATCCCTAGTACTGAAAAAATAAATAAGTAAACAAACAAAAATATTTAAATAATTTAAAAATTATAAACTTTGCTGGACACAGTGGTATATGCCTGTAATCCCAGCGACTCAAGAAGCTGACGCAGGAGGACCACAAATTCAAAGCCAGCCTCAGCAACTTAGTGAGGCCCTAAGCAACTTAGTGAGGCCCTAAACAACTTAGTGAGTTCCTGTCTCAAAAAATAAAAAGGCTGGGGATGTGGCTCAGTGATTGAGTGTCCCTGGACTCAATCCCTGATACCAAAAATAAACAATATATTGTCCTACTCAAAGTTTCCAAAACAACTTTTTTCCATGCAACTGTTTCTGATATCTGTCCATAACAGATCTAAAACTTTTTAATATTATATAGTATTTGATTATATGACAAAAGTTTTATTTTTATCTAAAAGATATACAGGTGGTTTCTAATACCTTGCTTTTTAAAAAAAATGTTGCAAATTTTAACAGCAAATATATATGGTGTTTACTGTGAATCAGACACTGCTCTATTATTTATGTGAATAATTCACTCAATCTATAGTTTCTACCACTGGCCTCTACAGTGGTCCAGGGAGTTTACAATGAGTGGTCCAGGGAGTTCAAATAACTTGTTCAATGTTACAGAACTAGCAATATGGTGAAATCAGAATTTGAACCAGGTGGCCTGGCTAAAATCTATACTCTAAGCCTACCACATATCTTGCTGTGCCATGTGCCAAAGTGAATCCAGAATATATAATTAGAAGCAGTACTGCCAGGTTATAAGATCTAAAAATTTCCCATTTCAATAGCTATACCACAATGATTCTTAAAATGACTAGCTGTATGAAATGTATGAATCTTAATAGTTTTAATTTTTGCCATTTCACTCATGGGTAAAAAATGACATTCTCAATTTCCATATATTTTATTCCTAATAATGATGGATTTTTCCTGTTTAATGACTAGTGAAATTTCCTTTTCCATAAACTACCAGTTTATACCCTTTGTCCATTTTGGGGATTACCTTGTTAGTCTCCTTATCCTTTTGTAGGAATTTATTTTAATACTAAATATCAATCTTGTTTTCTACCATATAATCTTCTCCCACACTGCTGTTTGTTTTTTAACTTGTTCATGGATTCTTTTGTCATGTAACTTTAAATTTTGATATGTTTATCTAGTAATTTTTTTAAGACGTTGATGGAGCTTTATTTTATTATTTATTTATATGTGGTGCTGAGAATCAAACACAGGGCCTCATACATGCTAAGCAAGTGCTCTACCATGGAGCCACAAACCCAGCCGAACTCAGTAATTTTTGATAGGTCAAACCTATCTATATTTGTCCCTTGTGATTGCTAACTATGGCATATATAAGGATTTGAAGTACTGTCTACTCCACAATAGATTAATAATTTACTCCCAATACAAATGTATGATTTTATCAGTTTCCCCAACATTTTTGTTATAGGTAGTTATCAATCTGAAAAAGTATTTATATTTCTCTAATTATTAGTAATGCTGAAATTCTTCATAGATATTTCTATTTCTTCTAGTAAACTGTTTGTTCATATATCTCAAAATATGGAAATTTTGCATTTTTATATAATTATACACTTTGATCTTAATGAATTATTTTACTTCTAGCCTAATAATAGAACTTTTAGAACTTTAGTTCATCTATTATTTTCATATTCATTAAGATAGGAGATAGGAGCCAGGTATGGTGGCACATACCTGTAATCCCAGCAACTCAGGATGCTGAGGCAGGAAGATCAAAAATTCAAGGACAGTCTCAGCAACTGAGCAAGGCCCTAAACAACTTAGTGAGATCCTGTCTCAAAATAAAAAGTACAAAGGGCTGGGATGTTACTCAGTGAGAAAGAACCCTTGGGTTAAATCCCCACTACCAAAAAAAAAAAAAAAAAAAGAAAGGCTATGAGATAGGGATATAATTCAACTTTTATCTACACACATAGCCAACTGTATCAAACTAATTTGATCAATCTATCTTTTTTATAAAGGTATGGAATGTATCCTATACTAAGTTTTCATATATTCTGGTAACTTACTTTTAGTCCTTATTTATCTCTTTATTTGTATACTAATCACACATTAATTATTTAGTAGTACTTTTTAATATTTGATAGGACAAACCCCACACTACTGTTCTTTCTTTTAAAATTTTTCTTGCCATTATTTCCTAATCAGCAAATAAATAAATATATGCTTTTTGTAAAAGAGGAAAGATCTTGGATAACAAAACTTTAAGTGAAAAAAAAAAAATACCATACGCACACACAAAATTACAAAACCAGCATTCCATTTTATTCATTTACCCTTTCCTAGAACAACTAACAATTAACATTTGTATGACCTTCAATTTACAAAGCATTTTAACATTCATCATGGAAAGAATGACACTTTGTCAAAGAAAATAATCCATTCATTTTAATATCAGTAAACATATTCCAACTGAGCCTAACATTCATTGTCAAAATATATTTAAAAATGCTGATGTTTCAGCAACCAAAGTTTTTTCTAAATAAAACAGTAACTCATTTGTTATCTAACACACAGATTAAATAGCAAATGAAAAGTACAATCACATAATAGCTATTATGTATTATAATGTAACATTCATCACTTAGGATATCTCCATTCTTTGGACAAAATAAAACTTTAAATTGCAAAAATAAATCACAAAAAAAAAACCAAAAAAATCAACTCATCATAAGTAATTCAGATCCTTATTAGACAAAAACCTATCAATCATCTTGCTACATAGTTGTGAATTTGACACTGAAACAATGTTTGACTTACAGACCTTTTCCTAATAAAAATAAACTTACATTTTTCACTATAGATGATCTGGACCACTGGATTTGGGCCATCATTCTGTGGTACTGGATCTATATCAGCCCATTCTGCTCTGTCCCTGAAAATATACATTTTTTTTTTCAGTGATTACATTCAAACACATTAGAAGAACTGGCATTTTCAAAAATGGCAATAATCACACTTACATTAACACTAGTAACTTACAGAGATCTTACATTTAAAAAAGTTTATAAATCAACATTTTCAAATTTAGTTTTAGAAGTGGCAAAACATATTTTTGCAGCAAGTATACAACTTACAAATCAATCTCATTGATCTAATAAGACTGGAATCAGTCAGCAATTTTTAAAATCTGAGTAATAATTTACTATAAATTGACCCCCTCCCCCATCCCACCCCCACCCCAGTACTGGGAATTCAACCCAGGGATTTTATTTTTTATGTTAAGACAGGGTCTCAGTAACTTGTTGAAGGTTGCTAAATTGCTGAGACTGGCCTCAAACTTGTGATTGTCCTACCTCCTGAGTCACTGGGATTATAAGGTTGCACCACTGCAGCCAGTCTGGACTAACATTTTAAAATCAAAGTAAACAATCTACTCTGTACTAGAGAGGTGGCCCTGATGGCCATTAAGGGAGCAGGTTCTAGGGCTAAGGGTGTAGCAAAAGGTGAGAGCAGGTTCTGGAATCTAACAACTGCCTAAACTGGAATATCAGTTCTACTTCTTACTAGCTGTGTGGCCTTGAAAAAGTTACTTAATCTCTCTGGGACTCAGTTTCTTCATTAAAAAAACAGAAATAACATTATTAATCAATCTTAGAAAGCTATTTTGAGGATGAAATACTATGCTATTAAAACATGCACAATATATAATAAGCATTCAATGAATATTACTCTTTATCAAGCTAAAATAACAGTAGAGTGGCAACTATAGGTGCTTACAGAAATTTCAATGTGAATTGCCCTATGTGATCAAATTTGTTTTAACTGTCTTTTACTTACATTCTCTTCCTTTCACCCTCTATTTCTTTCTTGCTTTATTTATTTTGGTACAAGGAATTGAATATAGTGGTGCTTTACCATTGAGCTACATTGCCAGCCCATTTTTTAACTTTTAAATTTGGAAACAGTTTCTCACTGTTTCGAAAACCTGTTAAGTTTCTGAGGTTGGCCTCCTATATCAGCCTCTGAAGTGGGTGGTATTACAGGTGTGTGCCACTGTGCCTGGCTCTTTCACCCACTCTTTACCTCTCTATACTCATCAGCTATTTCACAGCAGAGATATGTGGCTTACAATCTTGAAATGGTGCCCCTCATATAGGAAGAAACAGGAGAAACAATGACCTGAGATGTGAAACCTAGAGTCTACGGGATGGCACGAGAAACGTAAGACTGTCATTTAGGCACTGGGAAATTAGACAGTCATGTGAAGAAACTTCAGCATTTCACAATCCAAAGAGGAGGCTGAAGACTACAGGAACAAACCAATTTAAATCGGAAAATATTAGCTCCAACAAAAAAGAAAACTAGATAGTGGCTTTCACTCATTCATAAAAACAAGGCAAATAAGCCATCTAATGGGTTTAGGTTGAACTACAGAAGACAGGACTTTCTGATTGTTTCTGCAGCTTCCCAAGAACTAGGCAATCCACATTACTATCTGAACACAAGGAACAGATGGGGATTAGACTGGGTGTTGGCAGAGATCGGGAAAAGAGGCAAGAAAGTTACAGCAGTACCTTCATATTGCTAGTACAAGGGACCAGGAGTAGGAGATGCATATGAGAATTTAGGTAACAATTCTATTTTCACGCTCACGGCCTAACTCAGTTCCTGGAGACAGCAGGGGCGAAAATAATGGTTAAATGAAAAGGTCTCAGTCCTTGAAATTCTTATACCTTTTATTAATACGGCAGAACAAACCGCAGGAAGCCAGTACAGCTCGTTTTTAAAGAGAAAGCTGGCTCTTTATTAAATAATTATTTTCTTGGCATTCTATAAAAACCGCACCCTAACCCTTCCATTTTCATTGTGGTCATTAACAGGATAACGTTCTGGGACTTTAGAAGAGAGCGGGAAATTTCTTAAGTGTATGAATCATGACACCTAAAAGAGTGCTGTCCGGTGTTCTGTAGTTTCTACGTTTCATTCAAGCCTGCGGGAAGCCACAGAGACGTGCCTGGCGCCCGGACTCCGCAATGTCTCTCGGGGGTCAGCGCTGCCTCCGGGAAGCGGCAATCTGGGAAGGAGCGCGAGAGTCGCGGGCTGGCGCCAACCAACCAGCTACCTCTCGGCCTGCCAGCCCGCCGGGCCGCACAAACTTCGGCAGAACAGAGGCCGGAAGCTTGTACCGGGGCAGAATTTCCGCCGCGGCCCGGCTCGGGGGCGTTACCTGTACAGGACATAGGTGGGCGAGTCCAGGCTCAGAAACCCGTCGTCCATAGGGGACGCCACTGCTCCTCCGGCCTCGGCCGCCATCCCTTCTTCCTGCTGCTGCTGGGATGGCGGTGGGTGCGGCTGCGGCGGGGGCTGCTCCGGCTGACCGGGCTCACCACCCTGTGTAGCCTCTCCGACCCCCTCGGCGGCCGCCATCTCTCCTCCGCCCGCTGCGAAGGTGGTGGCGGAGACCCCGCCCCCCGCAGCCTCGCCCCTTGCTCCCCTCCCTCTCGTGGCCAACTTCCGGTGTCCTGCTTCCGGCCACCGAGACGCGGGCCAGAGGGCCCGGGCGGGGCCGGGTGTTCTCTGGGTAGGGGCGTGGACACTGGTGGGACAGCGTGCGCGACGGCCCCACGGGGCTCAAGGCTAGACACACGTCTTGCAATCTGTAGGCCGCCCCCACCCCGAAGACTTGTCACTTCAGAATCTATTAGTGCTGGTGGGGGATCCCAGTAACGAAGTTGGCTATCTCTGCACTTAGAAGCCCTGGCTAAGGGCAGCGGGCGGGCAGCTCAAGACAAACCCCCTTATCCTAACTGATAAGGGCTCCACTTTAACCTTTTAAGGGCCTTCATGTTTTCACTGGGGTTTTTTTCCTCGATGCTAAAGACTTAAACTTCATTAATCCAGGATTTTCGACCTTTGAAATTAAATTTCGGGTTATACAAATACTGTTCGAGTATATGATAATAAAAGGAAATACTTCTCTGTTATATAAAACAGATACATTTATTTAACAAATATTTGCTGACCACCTCTGTGTCCCATGCTTGATCGCAGCAGTACAAAAACCATTCTCTACAGTCATGGAGTTTATGTTCTAGTAAGGGAGATTATGATGAGAATAGACATGTCGTATGGTAAGTGCATTAAAGACAAAGCAGGTTGGTGGGATAAAGATGTTTGTATTTCTTTTTCGGTAGGATAGTCAGACTTTTTAAGGGGCAATTTAAGCAGAGATTCTAAAAGGAAATGCATACTTAACATGTTCTTGATTCACTGAGGATGCCAGTATGACAAATCTTGTGAATGAGGGAAAGAATCCAAGAAAGGGGAAAAACTGGGGTAAGAATTGAGGATTTGGGGCCTGCGGTTGTGGGTCAGGGGTTGAATGCTCACCTAGCATGTGTGAGGTGCTGGGTTCGATTCTCAACACCACATGAAAATAAAGAAATAAAATAAAGGTATTGTGTCCAACTACAAATAAAAAAAATATTTTTTAAAGAATTTGTAAAGCAGCTGGGGTTGTGGCTCAGTGGTAGTGTGCTTGCCTAGCATGTGTGAAACACTGGGTTTGATTCTCAGCACTGCATATAAATAAATGAGCAAAATAAAAGCCCATCAACTTCTAAGAAAAATATTTTAAAAAATAAAGAATTTTTTTAAAAGAATTGGGGGTTTTGTATTTTTAATTGTGGCAAAATAAACCTAAATTTTACCATTTTAACTATTTTAAGTGTGTAGTTCAGTGACATTAAATATATTCACATTGTTGTGCAGCCATTTCCAGAACATTTTCTATAACTGAAACTTGTACTGGTTAAACAATAGCTCTGCAGTTTTCTTCTTTCTGTTTCTCACTATTCTAGGTACCTCATGGAAGTGGAATCAGATACTATTTGTATTTTTGTATTTGGTTTATTTCATTCAGATATTCTCTTCCAAATTCATGTGTAGCATGTATCAGAATTCATTTTTAAGCCTGAATAACTCAATGTTGCGTGTATATCCCACTTTATTTATTCATCTGTTGATGGACACTTGGGTTGTTTCCACCTTTTGGTCATTGTGAATAATACTGCTATAAATACTAGTATACAAATATCTGTGTGAGTCCATGCTTTCACTTCTTTATGTGTATTCCCAGAAATGGAATTGCTGGGTCATGTCACAATTCTATGTTTAATTTTTTGAGAAATTGCCATACTGTTTTCTACAGTGGCGACACAGTACTCTAATTTATCCACATACTTGCTAATGCTTATTTCCTATTTCTTTGGAATAGCCATCCTAATTGCTATGAAGCAGATTCTTGTGGTTTTGATTTGCATTCCCTTAATGATTAGTGACCTTGCACAATTTTATGGGTTTATTGGACGTTTGTGGGAATGGATTATAAATGGAAATTTGTGGAATGATCTGAGTATGAGAAGAGCATGTAACAACTTTTTAAAGCCCACTCTAATACAATTCATTGAATCATGAAATCAATTTAGTAGGTTCTATCTGGGCAAACAGGCATACCAATTCTCTGAGACAGGACTTGCTGCCCAGGTTTGAGGACTGCAGTCAGCAGACAGTCTCCATCATGACTTGAAGGCTGCTGGCACTGGATAACTGAGGCAGAGACATAAATTCCTGGGCACTATACCCTGATGAGAACAGCCTGAAAATGATATAGAACAGAGCTCTCTACTGGGTAGGTGAAGCGTCACAGGGCTTTTGCAGTTCCCTATGATGCTTCACCTGGTGTTTACCCCTGATTTTGTAGCCCAAATTTCATCTTACTATTTGATTTCATGTTTATACATGTTTAGGTATAATGGGTCACGTTGTAAATGCATTTCTACTGTGGGACTTCGCCAAAAATTTTGGAACAATGGACTGTATTAATAGTGGTGGAGATCATGAGCAGTGGATGGATTCTGGATATACTTTAAAGGTTGATCTGATAGAATTTGCTGCTTGGGAGAATATGAGACAGGGGAAAGGAAAAAGGAAGGAAGAAAAAAGAAAAGAAAAAAACAAAAAGATGACTCCAAGGTAGAACTTCCTTTTGACAGTCATAGTGGTGTGGACCTACAGTACCAGCTATTTGGGAGTCTGAAGCAAGAGGGAGGATCACTTAAGCCTAGAGGTCCCAAACCGCCTGGGCAACATAGCGAGTCTCTATCCCCTTATCCCATAAAAATTCTTTTTTATCAGAATAGGCACAGTCCAGCTAGGCACAGTGGCACACTCCTGTATTCCCAGCAGCTGGGGAGGCTGAGGCAGGAGTATTGCAAGTTCAAAGCCAGCCTCAGCAACTTAGCAAGGCTCTAAGCAACTTAGTGAGACCCTGACTCTAAATAAAATATAAAAAGGGCTGGAGATGTGACTCAATGATTAAGTACTCCTGAGTTGAATTCCCAGCACCAAAAAAAAAAAAAAAAAAAAATAGGCACAGTCCCTTTGGCCATCCCTCCAGTTGTAGTTTAGTAGTACATTGTGTTCTCTTCCTGTGAGTTTACATTAATATACATATATAAACAAAGTAAAAAAAACCAAGAAATATAAATAAATTACATATATTTATATATTATACATATTTACATAAATTACACATACAAATTTTTTAAAACCATATATATATATATATATATATACACACACACACACACATACACACACATACATATATTGTTTTTTTTTAAGACATATATTGTTTTTTAAATGAAAAATTTGGGTATTATGGGCTATAACAATTTTTCTGCCTTTCCTGATTCTTTTGATATGTCCCTCCCAAAAATCTAATATCTGCTTCAGACACTAATAACCTATCCTAATAGATCACAGAACATATGATTATAACTATTAAGGAGGGAAAATTAATTACTGCTACCATCAGTTGAAGTACAGTAAATCTCATCAGCCGTCCCACAAACAAGTTCAAACTAAAATACAAGTAAAGTGAAAACTAAAATACTAATATGCCTTTGAAATAGACACCTGTAAAAATCCAGTATATGGAAATTCAGGAACTGTCAATGTTGTTTAGATCCTTGTTATGGCCTTAGGGCAATTTACTGGTGCATCTTATCAACAGATGCAGGGGAAATATTAATTTCTTTTGCTTTCCTTCCAGTCTTCAACAATATTAGAAGCAATGTAAAAGGTACATGGTAAAAATAAGAACAGAAAGATGGAAGTCAGAGAAGAGAAAGTGTGGGACAGAATGGAAGAAAGACTTCATAACAAAGGATAAGGGACATACGGGATCTGAACTAATATCTATGAGGACAATGTAAGCTGGTAGGACAAAAAAAAATCTTATTTGACACTTTTAAAACCCTGAAGAGAAAACAGAACAGGTGCTATTCCCCACTTTACAAATGAGGACCTGAATCAGGTCTGAAAATGTTTATTAAAGAACTATAGAGAAGGGTAAAAAGTAAAGAGATCCATCCTAATAGAAGCTCAGGACTGCCTCCCATACATCTTGTTTTTTTTAATCAAAATATCATTAACATTACTTTTAGAGAGAATTTCCAATGATTATAAAGTTTCTGTAAAAATCTTTAAAACATGAACATGAATCATCATTACATTATGCCAATAACATCATTACAGAAAAAAAAACAGTCAAATCAATTAATTAGCTTGGACATATTCCATAGAAAAGACTTATAGAAAAGACTATAAGTACAGACAAAAATAAGGATATTAAAGGATATGGATAATAGGCCCCAGGGAACTTCCCTTATCAACAACTCACCCTCCTGTCCACCCTAAATGAACCCATCACCAAAATTCCTCCCATGATTTGACCCTGCTGAACCCACAAGACTCAGGTCTTTGTTGTATCCCATTGCCATTTTCTCCTTGAAAATGCGCTCCTCTTTTGCTTAATAAAGCATCGCTGATCCATTGAGGTCAACCTCCCTTTCTTTTGATTTTTGTATTCTCTTTCATTGGCTTTCAGGTATCAATAGAGTAGGTAGCTTCAGCATTTTTCAGGATAAAAAAGCTAAAGAAGTACATAATTATGATACAAGATAGAATAGAATATGTTTGATAAGAGCTACAATATTATACTAAATAAACAAAATGTAATCAAGTTACAGTGATTATTTGAAGCAATGTAACTAGGAATTATGTAACTATTGTTGGTTGAGTAACCTATTCCAAAGCAGTACAAAAGGTTCACTGGTGGAATATAGACAAAATATAAGGCTAATTTTCATTCTGCAGAAAGGACTCTTATAAGGCCCAGTTTAATAAATAGAATCCTCGTAGTCTTTCTTTCTTTCTTTCTTTTTTTTTTTTTACTTTTTCCACATTTTTTTAGTTGGTTCATTACAGTTGTACATAATGATGGTATTTTTTGTTATATATTCATACATGTACACAATGTAAGGACATAATTTGACAAATGTCACTGTCCAACACTTTCACCCTTTCTCCTCTCTTCCCTGTCCTTTACTGATCTTCATTTGATTTT